AGACCCGAAGCCGTATGGAATCTGTACCGCCGTCGCTTAGCCTAGCCCGTACTGGAGAAAACTAGAGAAGGGACATGTCATCTTACGGCTGCAATCGCGAGTGATTGGAAGAGAAGAGTCATGGTGTTTCGGTTGCGGCGCATCTCGGGGTTGTACCCCAGCTGCTGCAGGTCGTACACATCCTGGGACTCGCCCACGGTCGTCGACGGGGAGGAGCCTTTAATCTTGAGATCCGACATAGCTTCGGGATGGCGCTATGCGGCGTGAATCGAGTCTGAACTTGGGAAGTTTACGATTCTGAGGATGTGTATCGAACAGAGGGATGGGGATGGATGCTCCTCATCTGTGCAACGGCAGGTCACATACCAGCGGAGTTGCGACTCACGGCCTTTTAAGCTTGCTCTCTACAGCGGGTACCCCCAAGGTTCAGTCTGGAATTCCCAGGGAGAAGAGGTCAGGTGTGTCGCAGCACGATAAGACATTGATCCCCCAAGCGCCATTCGCCGGCCGTGTCTCAGTTGGAATGATAAGCTTTCCCGGAGTTGGCGGCCTCTAGGGGACAACGGTCAGGCTCGTCTCACAGTGATAAGGACTGGGCAGACATCATTCGCCCGCGCGTCTGGCACAATTCGCCCTCTTTAGACTCGGCAGCCGGCAGCGAGGACGAGCTCGCGGTGGGCTAAACCCAACTCGTGCATCATAACCGTGGTGACCTTGCGCACCCCGCATTATAGCTCATCGCCAAGCCAGATTCGCTAGCTGAGTCGGGGCATCAGAGACGGCTGCTGCTCCTCTCATTGCTCGGGAGGTCCACAGGCCAAGGCTGGAGCTGATCGCCAAGGATGATCCAGGGCACATGTCTAAGCTTGGCACCGGGAGATTGAGATGCTCTCCGCTCTTGCTGTTCGGCTAGGACGGGACTGTTACAATGAGTACTGCCGTAGCATTGAAAGATAAGGAATTTGGCGGTCCATTCTTTTTGCTTGTGTCCATGGTAAGATGTTTAATACAGCTGCTACTGAATAGTGCAAGACCACAGAGCGTGTGTGACAGGGGATGACTGAATCAGGAAACTTTCAAGGCCATTTTGTCAGCGAGTGACATGTCACTATCTAATATTGGACGATATTCGCCAGATGGAGCGACTTGTTTATCGGCGCTGATACACTGGAGGCAACCAACTTCAAGTTTGAGGAATGATCCAGGCAATCCATTAACCAATCTCGCGTTCTATTTGGCGTGAGAAATGCCTTTACTACCTATTTATACATAATATCTCTAAAACAACTTTTCATACACCCAAAATTTCAGTCTATGCGTTCGTCGGTGCCGGATGCTCTACATGCGCCTCTCCGCCTTCTGCTGGCTTCGCCGCAGCCTTACAAAATCTCTCTTTGATGCCATCTTTGTCCGGGCCAGCCAAGGCCCCCAGCATGGTCTGCAGCTCCTTGAGACGCTGGGCAAACGTGATGAACATGCCACCTAGATTCGTTCACGAGGTCAGCATTCATGCACTCATTGATCAAGCAAAGGGAGGAGGCTACCTTCAGCGTGCCAAAGAATGTGGCAATGGAGAGCCCAGACGCCCGGGTTATCTGACGCGATGCGGAGAACGACGTGGTCGGCTCCCATCATGCTGACGGTGTCGCGTCGCATTGGGTTGTCCAACTTCCAGGTCGTCTGACCCTTTCCGAAATTCCCGTCGCCCCAGCCAACGACTTGGAAGCTCTGACCTGTGTAGTGTGTGAGTAAAACATATCTCTCTGCTGGGTAGCATCATTACTTACCACTGTGTCAATGTTAGCCATCATGAACGAATAATACGAGAGAAGGGGTGAAGAACGTACTGCATATGCCACGGATGCATCATCATATGATTTGCCGAGATGGCAATTTGGGTTCCCATGCTGGCATCGGGGGATATCATGACCTGCTGATTTGGTCCAAAGTCCCACTTGGAGTTTTCAGCGTTGAGATCCAGATGGGGGATTTTCCAGAGAGTCGCATCGTCCTCGAGGGGAGTATAGGTGGTCTAATGTGATATGAAATGGTCAGTGGGCGCGCCGTCACGTTTGGCACAGTACAGGGAAAGGATTACCTCGTTGACAGAAGTACGCATCACACCGGTCTCTCGACTCATCTTGAACCGGAAATAGTGACTGTTCTGCTCACTGACATTGTACGCAGCCATCACGCGCTTCGGCTTCGGGAGATCAAACGGCAAGTCCGCACAATCTTCGCTCCAGGGCTCGGCCCCAATCCCTTCCGTCTGCGAGCTCTCGACGTCCCATGGCTTTCCGATCGTCTGTGCCTTTACATCCACACCTCCATACGACAGCACGCCGTGTGCTTCGAGACCCGCATTACCAGACTCTCCCATATGACGCCCGGGAATATGAAAGCACGCGGCGGCAGCAGAAGCCCGCATCAAATAGTTACCCGCGGACTGGTTTGCGGTGAGAATCACGGAGTATCGCTGGCCGGGGTTGATGAAGACCCGGGAGGTACGTATGGGCTCGATCTCAACGCCGTCTAGCTCGACAATCTCGAGAAGATGGCTGTCGACTGAGAAGTAGAGGGGGACGTTTGTGCTGTGGCTGATGAGCCGGAGGCGGATACGCTGGAGGTGATCTACGTGCGTGGAGTGCAGTGTGCCGTTTTCACATGCCATGGAGCCGCCTGTGCAACCTTTGCCGTTTCGGCCGTTGAGAATGATGTTGCTTGCTGGTGGCTCGATGCCTGGACTGCTGGGTTTCCATGGTGGTGAAGGTCCCAGGTAGTCCTTTAGAATCTGCGGCGATGATTAGCTATGCTGGAAGTTTTCGCTCCCGAGATATGGAGGAAGTACTTGTTCGGCGGAACCGTGGTATAAGTCTCCCACCATAACGATCTTGTCCTGATCGACGCCTGCAATGGCTTCAGTAGGATCGTGGATGACCTGGAGACAGAGGAAGGGTAAGTAAGAGAAGTCCAGGAAAAAAATGCATCACGGGCGAGGATGGTGATTGCTTACCACGGGCCCGTAGAGACCATCGGTATATTGGACTGATTTGTGTGCATGGTACCAAAAGGTCCCACGCTGATTGACGAGAGTGAACTCGTAGGTGAAGCTCTGTCCTGGTGGAATGCCACATTGCGAGATAGAATGGACGCCGTCCATCCAAGTGGTATTCCTTTGATCAATCCCATGCCAGTGAAGCGTGGTGCTCGTCTCGGGCATCATGTTGTTGACATGAACACGGATGGTGTCTCCGGCATTCGCCTGGATGAGCGGACCAGGCGATTGGCCATTGATGAGAATCATGGTCTTCTCAAATCCATCCGGAGCGGCGCGGCCATGGGTGACGTTGAAAGTGTATTCACGCACGGTTGCTTTGCCAGTCACAACAAAGTCACGCTTCAAGTCGAATTGCTCCGGGAGAGGCAGCCCTGACTCGACGGCGAGAGTTTCTGTGGGAGATGCCTGAGTGGTAGACGTTGAGCTAGATGTTGAGCTGGACACCGAGGTCGTTGTTGGTATGGCCACCATGCTTGTAGTTGTGTCCGGCACAACAGATGTTGAGGCGACGTGATGGTCATTGTCCGGCTTGCTGTCATGGTCCTCATGATGATCTTGATCGGCTGGCATAGTGCCCGGGCCGGCATGATTCGAGTTGGAGACTTGCTGCTGCGGGAAGTAGAAGAGACTGAAGGACGAGAGCATAAGGACAGAGATTATGCCGACAATGATAAAGGGAAGCCGTAGAGTGGGCTGACGAGACCGCACGGGACGCTCAAAGAAGTCTCGCGTCTCGGAGTCAGTCGGTGAGGCGATGTCCAGCATCGGCACCTGCTCTCCGGGACCATCATAAGAAGCATTCATCCTGCCTTGAAATTGGATGGGGCGCGCGATCGGATCGGCACGGCTAGCAGTGATGACGGAGACAGATGGGAGCCATTTGGGGGATTGGGAAAACAAATCATGTACTGTCAGCACGGCGCGCGGTGGCAGATTGGTTGCCGCAGCTGCTGAAACGTGGCCCCACGCGAACAAAGGGACAAGGATCCTTAGTTTGGCTTCGGAGTTGATCCGTGCTGTCAGTTTGGTTACCCCTTTTTAGCTATCATCACCCCTGTCGGCTGCCTTTGGGTTCACAAAGCACCAGAAAACATTCTTGGACACCGTACACGAGTATCTTTTCCCGGTCGGTCGTGTAACTTCTAGGATACCCAAAGGTGCGATGATGCTCTTGGCACCAGTGGATTTGCAATTGGAGGTCACCGCAGTGCAAATTTGACACAAAATAAGGGTTCAAACCCCAAAGGCGGTGTATTTCAATAGATACCTAAGCTAGCCATTTGTCTCTCCGTCTTTGGCATCTAGACCCCAAGGGAACGGCAATATGGAGTAGAATACGCACCCATAACACTTATAATAGGCTCTTCCCCCCCCGAAAATAGCGTTTAAGGAAGCCACGAGTCTAGCCGAAGTCTGGAATGCAAATGTTTTATGAGTTTCCCCTGAGCCTTGATGTGAAATAGCTTCGACGTAAGATGAGAATACAGGCCTTATGTTCAAGACCAATCTTTCCAAACACCACGGTGCCAACGCGCAGTAGTTGGCAATGATTTGGCCAATTGAAAAGGATTTCGTATCAGAAGAACAATTCTGATGCCACCTGCCAGAGGGAGATTTTTTGCGTAAAACGCATTTGCTGAGATTGATGAAGTTTGTTCATAATAGGTAATCTGCGTTTCACACGAACTGATCTCTACATCTCATGCCGAGCGAATACAGTCACAAGCCGCCGGACGGGATCACCAGACTCTAGTGATCTGCGATGAATGCCAAGTGACACTAACAATGCCGTCGAGCACAAGGCAGACTCCAGACTCAGCCTCAGCGGAGCCCCTCACGTAGTGAATTAAGCACAGCAACGAACCGATGATAATATGCGCATCACTCTGCAAGCCATTTCACCATTTTCACAACAGCCTCACGCAATCATCTATAACATATCATGGGTTTCGACAAGAAGACGTTTCTCGCCGCTTTCCGAGCGAGCAACACCAATGACTCTGAGAAAGAACCACCTCCTCCATACCAAGAGGAGGGAGATTGTCCAAGACATGATCGGAGTGGTACGACACCCGCAAAGCCTCCACCTGGTTATGCCAAGACAGAGGCCAAATGCGCCCCCACGGAGAAGGGAAAACAACCTGGAGTAGTGGGCGTTGATGCATCGAAACGGCCTCCAATACCCGCGACTGCGGTGTATCTCTTACAAAAGGACGAGGAAAGCAAGAAAAAGCTACACGCAACTGTCGACGGGTTCTGTGGCGCACCGGATCCCGGGATGTTCAGTTCGAGCTTGTATGCCTCCTCTGTTTCGAGTACGAGACGGAGTGCTTATGCTCTATATCAGACCCGAAGACGACCGCTGATCCATGGCAAATACCCCAAATAAAGAAACCGAAACGGTCATTGAGCTTTCCAGCTAAGCTGGCGACGGAAATTGGGGACAAGCCAGCTCATCTATCAGCTGCCATAGCCCAGTCCCTCTGGCCCGCCATTACGCGTGGAATGATTCCCATATTCAACGACCACTCGCTCGTCGTGTTGAGATCGCGAGCTCTCGAGCGTACGCAAGACCCAAAAGAGATCTTGCGAAACATGGTTAACCCCATTTCGACTTTGCTATCGGCTGTGGAATGCCGATGCGGGTGTCGATTGGATATTTGCACGAAAATCCGGTCCAAGTATGGGCTCGACAGCAAAGAATCCATCGAAGAGTGTTCGGTGACTTCATATAAAGTGCGCACCAGAACATTCACTGCGATACGCATGCCGTATGGAATAACATGCTTCGACCTGTCTGAAATGGGCCTCTATGAAATAAAAACTGACCATGAGGAGGATTTTCTTTTCTACTGCTCTATACTGCCAACCTTTTGGAATGCCTACCCCTCTCCTAGGCCCAAGAGCGATCCAGCAGACATCAACTGGCACATGGTTCTAGAAAGTCTCCTCCACGAGACGTTGACTCTTCAGAACAATAGAATGTCGAGATATGAGAACTTGCCTATCAGAGCCATGTGTTACAAGGACGGCTCAACACGAGCTGTTATGCGGGCTGAGAACTTCGCCGTAGGCCCGGGTTTCCTTGTAATGGAGGTGACGCCGTCGGCTCCAAGCAGCCCGCAGTACAACATCATTGATTGCGGATACTCACTTCGTCAAGTTTCGAGTATCAACTCCCCTAGGACAGTCGATGCAGACGCATTCATGTCACAATCAACCTCCGCCCAACCCAAGTTTGGGTCACTCGAGACTGTCAGCGTAGGTAAGGGATGGGGAAACCTATCCCTTGATCCTAGATCAGATGGACATCTTTACCTGAAAAAAAGATATGGCCCGCTCATCAAAAGAACTATGGTAGGATTACCACGAAGGGGTCTTCCAGGGAAGATGTGCACCGGAAACTGTTCTCGAAAGAAGGCCTCAACTGGGGCGCATTTCGCCGGCTTCGCGCCTCCCACAATGGACCCGAACCAGACAACTGTGTACGTCCTTGACAAAGAACCGTTGGCATGGGTGGTGATATCCCAATGGGCATCTTCGCACCCGAGGCCTTTGATATTTGTAAGCCACAAGCAATGTTTGGTGTGCACAATTCTGGATGCCCCCGGAGGGAGTATCATTGCCTCTGGGCTGCCCCCAATAGGTTTGTTTGAGTTAATGATTACTTGAAAATATATGAGGAGTCAATGAAATGATTTGAAGATTTTTCGGGGAACTCATCGCGTGAGACTACTGATTGAGAGAAGAATGGGATATCGTATTGAGGGTAGTTATGAGCAGACCACTCTCTATGATCAATGGAATGGAATAATACGGCAGCATAAAGCGATATACATTGGCAAAATTTATCGTAATATCTCCTAAATACTTATTAGAGGCCATGTATATTATGGTATATCCTTCTCGTACTATCTGTTATAGCAGATGTACTTACTCTAGGTGCTCCTAGGCCAACTGTTTTGCGAGACCGCACCTTTTATCTTTCCCACGTTTCTTGTACCCGTTGTAAACAGGGCGGGCCCGTAGAGATAATTATTAAAAGCCCATAAGTAAATTGCCCTTGAAATGACGGGGCGACATAGTTTACCAAAGTTAGAGATTTATGGTGCATTAGTTCAAGTTTGACTGCATTGTCGCCCGGCAACGGAGTTAATCATCATCAAGGTTCGAAGTGAAAATTTTTGTAAGGCGGATCTCGCATATGACCTCTTGGTTTTTCTTCTTCTTCTTACTCTGCTGCTTTTCTTCTCCTTCTTCAATCTATGAGCTGCATTACCAGAAAGAAGTGGCTGTGACATCCCTCCCATTTGATACCTCATGTTTCTGAAAAGCCGCACCTATCATTCCCAAGCCAATATCTGGCACCACGCCCAAGAAGAAGGAAGATAAAAAAGGCACGAGAGAGGTGTTTACCAAACGAAGCTTGACGGATTATCCACCAAAGACGCACAAAAACGGGAATGGGGAGACACGCTGGCAGGAGCGCCAGAAGGACCAGCCTTACAAAGGCTCAAGTGGGAGCCTCGCGACAACAGATAACTCATTTCCATCTCTTCCCAAAGCTACCGACCCAAATACGTCTGATGATTTGGAGGTTGGCCGTCTGTGGCCACGAGACACCGAGAATTCACTACTACTCCCTGTTCAACGAGGAACACGGCGGATACCGGCAGAGCTTTCTGCCACGGCTCATATCAATCTACATGAATCCGCCCGGCCTGAAAGAGATGTATGTCCACCCGAAGAAGAAGACGAAACTAATACCGATCGAACACCGTCAGTTGCGATCCAAGCCGTGCCAACTCACCTGGGCCGAGGCCAATCGTGTACACTACTACTGGAACGCGGGGCTCCGGACTGCGTGCTGGGAATCGCGCATCGTTCTAACTGAGTATTACACTCAACTTAGAAAGGCCAAGTCGTCAGCCAAACCAGGATCGTCACGAAGTAAGTGTCCAACATTAACAGAACCTTCTCCACCCGAGGAGCATCTCTCATCAAAAAATCCTCCTTCGGAAGAGGAGAAGAACAAAATTGCGCTCAGTCGAGCCACAGCTACCTTACCTGTCAAATATGGGAGGGTCTATCTCGACTGGTGGACGGCAGACATAGTGTGCTTCCGATTTCCACAAGAACACATGGCTGCTTGCGTTTATTTTAAATGGAGAGAATTCCTCACCCGCCTTCCATTCTTCCAACTTCCTTACGCCTCCGACTTGAATCTTGCCTTTGAGTTTGAAGATGGCTGGGAGAAGGGCTTAGGGGAGACCAGGGAGTCAGTCTGTGAACATCTGTCAGAAGCTTCGACCAGAGGTCTCGTGATGCGGGCTTGGTGGGACTGGTTGACAGGCAGAATCCCGATATGGACCCGTATGTACCTGATCAACCCTCGGAACGACCTTCCCAGACATCATCGACTGGCGAACAATTTCCGGTACTACTACGACGCTGTCTATGGCGCCAAGTACCCCAGCAGCACCGGGGACCATCGTGTTTTTTCTGATGGCGAGAGAAGATACGTGGAGAGCTATTGTTGGGATGAGAAAGGGCCAGATTTCACAATAAGTCAGTATGACTTACCGATCTGTAGCTTCATCCTGAAGATGGAGAGATTTTGTCGGCCGCTGTATAAGCATCCTATTGATGACAGTCTTCCTACTTCGTACCAACATTTTTTCAGAGTGTTACGGCTCCTCCCGACCGACATGGCACCAGAGAAGGCATAACAGAAGACAGAAAGCGCTGTGTGTGAACATTCACCATGTTTGTAATGAGTTCAGGAGTATTGTTTCACGTGCAAGAAAAATGACTTGTTGCAGTCAATGAGGGACAATGATAGATAAATAACAGATCTATGTAGGATTACAAATAGAGAGCAAAAAAGTAAAATTCATGATGTATGGATACCTTAGCTAATAGCGACAGCTTTCCCTCATCTGTCTAAATACGACTGGAGAAGTATGGGATGTTCTTCTTCTCGTAGATATCCTTGTGATCAGCCTTGATCATATCGGCAGTCTGTATTGCTCGTTAGTCAAAGCCAAATATTCTCGTGATGGGTTTTCTATTAGTACTAACCTTCTCACCAATCATGTAGACGGAGTTCTGGATGCGGCAGTCAGGGATGACGGGGATGATGGAAGCATCAGCGATACGGAGATTCTTGATTCCGTGGACGCGGAGCCTGGAATCAACAACACCCTGCTGGATGCTCTTAGAAAGGCGGGCAGTGCCACAAGGATCTGCATGATATATTAGTGGTGTTTCATATGCTATGGGAGTCATATACTTACGGAAACCCGTCTGGCTACGATCGAGGACAGCACGCTTCATCTCATCGTCAGATTCGAGGGGCATCTTCCAAGGATACTCTGCAACAACGATGTCCTTGAACCCAGAACCCTTGGTCAAGAGATCGTAGGTCCATCGGACACCCTCGCGCATAGCAAGAATATCCAAGTCATTGCCGAAGAAGTTGAGGTTGATGTTGGGCTGCACCAGAGGGCTGGCATTGTTCAAGGTGATCTCGCCCTCGGACAGGGGACGCAGCAAGTCAACAATGACAGTGATGTAGCTGCCGCTCTCGGGAACTGGGTAGTGCCATTGGAAAGCAGAGCTGAAGAGGCCGACAAAGTCAAGCTCGAAGTGAGGCTGGCCAGCGGGGCCAAATGGGTCAAGACCGCCATTGGCAGCCTTGGCCTGGCGATAAGATTCGTAATTCTCAAGACGTTGATCAATTCTGGGGAAGCCGACAAGCTCGAGGAAGCCAGAGCTCACTGGACCAGTCTTATCCTTAGCATACTGAGCAACGGCGGCTTGGTTCTCAGGGCCCTGGCGGAGGATGTACTCGTCTAGGCCATAGCCGTCCTTGATTTGGAGAACAAAAGGCACAATGGGGTGGTCCAGAAGATGCTGGCCGACGTGAGGCGAGTTCAACTTCACGTCGATTCCGTGCTTGTTGAGTTCCTCGGCGGGACCGACACCGGAAAGCATAAGCAGCTTGGGGGTCTCAAAGACACCCTGTGAAAGGATGACTTCCCGGCTAGCATAGACGCTAAGCTCGACGTTGGTGTCGGGGTTGATGACAGTGACACCGAGGCATACGTTGGTCTCGGGGTCGATGATGAGCTGCTTAGACTGAACACCATAGAGGATGCTGACGTTGGGCTTGTCCTTCAGGTAGAGAAAGCTGCCTTGGCGCTGGCCACCGTGAATAGTGTCAACGCAGTGAGTGAGACCTCGCATCTCGCCCTCGTAAATGTCCTCGGTCAGTACTTCGCCCTTGGAGAGCCAGGCCTCGGTAAGAGCATCGCGGAAAGGCTGCATTTCAGGAACCAGATCCGCGTGCTCGATCTGGATGGGGCCGCCTGTGCCAATCTTCTTAAGCTCAGCAGGGTACAGCTTCTTCTCGTCATGGTAGGTGGCGCACTTTCGGAGGTAATCCACACAGCCATCCCAGTTCCATTCAGAACCACCGAACTCCTCCCAGTCATCAAAGGTGGGCTTGGAACCGGGGATCCAGGTGAAGTAGTTGCCGCAAGATGATCCACCGAGAGCCTTGCCACGGGTGTTGGGCTTCTCGACACGCTCGTAGTCGTCACGCTTGATCATGGTCGACTTGTAGCCCCAATCATACTGGCTACCGCGGAGGTTGAATGCTTGGGATGGTGTGGTAATGACGGGGACTTGGTCAGGGTTGGGAATACCAGCCTCAACGACCAGGACGCGAACATGGGGGTTTTCGGCGAGACGACCGGCAACTGCATTGCCAGCGGTGCCGCCACCGACGACGATGAAGTCGTACTCATTTCCGTTTGCGACGAAAGCCATCGAGTTGATGTAGTTTGAGATTGTGGTGTGGTGCTTTGGACTTATTAAATGTTTTAGGGTGACAAGGTATGATTGTTAGTGAGGTAGAAGATTGTCAATGATTTGAATGCTTAGTGAACCGATTGGTGACGAGATGAAAAGACAGGTTTACGAGGCTTCGCTGCGATATTTATCTTCTGATTTACTGTGAAACTTTGTATTATCTACATCATACTGCTCTGTCTTCTCGACCAGTCAGATTCTCGCCATTCACAACCTCAGCAGCCAAACAGTCATTCACAGCTGCATCGCCGAGCTAGTCCCGGGGATCCGATGCCGTGGTGAAGCGACGCAACGGGCCGGCACTTGACGGTCTCTCCGAGTGCGGTTTAGAGGGTCCAGATCGTTCGGGAATATGCGGCCTCGGCTTGCGACGTCATTGTGCAGGCGCTCATTCCAAAGCCGGCCGGAGATCGCTCGGGATTGCTTCTTACAAAATTTTGACATTGCAAAAATACGAGATTCAAATCTTTTTCAGCTGCGAGGAGGCTCGGAGTTTCAATTTTTAATTCTGCCTAGCAGCTAATCAAACATCAACGCAATCCCGAGAAGAGGGAATGCCAGTGAATGGAATTGCCGCAGGTTCGATATTCTGCGGCAAAACAGCCTTCGGATCCGAGGATGACGAAAATTGTGATTAGGTTTGATTTTGCCAACTCACAAAAATGAACTCTCCATAATTGAGGTTTGTTCTCCATATTGGATACCGATTGCAGTAGTTCAGATCTCCGAGGTCTGCCGACGTCGGTTCTCCAGGCTTCATGTTTTGGTCACATCAAGATGCAAGATCTCTGTCCTGAGAGACGATCAATCAGATTGTCAATGAGCAGGCTGGATAATTACGAATTGCCCGTCAGGACTTCTAGATGAGCCAACGTAACTTGGCCGCTATTTGCGTGTTTGATGGCAAACCAGAATATGCCCTGCAATTATGCTAACACGTGGCCGAGAGAACGCGTCTCCGGTCAACATCGGGGGCTTCGGATCCGGGTTCTCGATACTTTCATTTCATTTGTTTGTATTTTTGTATGGATGTAAAACAGTTTCTGCTTCTAGAGGTACCTCCGGAAGTTTTTGATTAAGATTCCCCGTACAAACACGTTTGGAGACGATTCTATACTGTACAAATGTTCTGTAACGAGTGACTGTTAACTCTGGAGTTTTTGTTTTCCATCCCTGCGCTAGGGACAATTTTTTTTTGAGAGTTTCCAAAGACGTATGAGTCTTGTCAAAATCATCAAGGTAGAACGATACTGGCGTCAACCATGTATTAAATCGTCGTCTGCAGGACATTGATAGACTCTGGGCTCTAGGGTAGGCTTCAATGGAAGGATGTTCATTTTTCAAGATCAGGTTATATCGAGGCGTCACAGAATTTGCTAACCCTACGGTAAATGTAAATTTCAATGATGAATATCATCCTCTTTGGAATAGATAGTAGCTTGATGACTCGCTGCACGATTGATGTTAGTTTGAAGGTGGTAGCTTTAACTGAACCGTTGCCCCTCATATTGTAAGAGGATGTCGTGGGCGTGTGGCGGTGCACCCGACAGGGCATGATCGACAACCTGTAGCACCAAGCCACGAGTGATAGACGAAATGGCGGGCGTAAAACCGCCGCGCTGTTTCGACGTTTGGGGGGATAATTCCTTCGCGGGAGTGGAGGAGGAGGGGAGGTAGCCAACCAGTGCCGATATTGCCGGGCGGCTGGTTGAATCATTCCAATCATGTATGCACGGGTCCGGGTCAGCCACAGTAAGAAAAGCACGGGGTTTGCTACTGAAGACTTTGAATCTGATTTTCAACGCATTGCAATAATTTTGCAAACAGCCACGAAAGAGGAATCAATATAGCTTGCTATGCTTTGACGTGTATCTCCCGTCCAGCTCGTGGAATCGAGACTGAAGAAAAGACCGCGTAAATGGGCTGAAAAAGCCACTTCCAAGCTGTGATGATGTGGCTTAGCGCTGACGCAGGAGCTGTTTCGGCACATTCACAACCGTGCCGAATTACCGGAGAAGCCACCAAGAGCCGGAACAGCCAACCAAGAGACACAATTCCAGCCTTATAATAGATGGGATCTGCCAAATTTGTTAAGCCATGCGAGCGGGGGCTTAGCTGTTGAGAATTGGCCCATGGATTCCTTTCATGGGCTATTTTGGAGAGTGGAAGGGAAGCTGACATCCAGTAAGCCTGGAGGCCGCTTTGATGGTATATCAACGACCGAGTCCTAAACGTGCTCCAACATTCGGACATCATCAAATCATCAATTGGTTAGTCGACCGAGACAATTTCACATACGCCCTCCTTTCGATCAAAGAACCCTACTATAATCAAGCACGATGGGCTTATTCAACAACCATCAAGATGACAATACTCCGACGGACTCCCACTCATGCCCAATCCATTCGTTGGACGAAAGTGAGCTATGACAATGCAACAAAAGGGGAACTTAGCATCTAACGACAAATAGATGCGACACAGAATATCGTTGGGAATTTTGATTTCTACCATCTGAACATGATCATTTCAGGCGCATGTTCGTTGATCGCCATCGTAATAATGCTCACATTCAAACAAATGCACGCAATGCATCTTTCGAACCCAACCGAGCAGGTCAAGTATGATTGATATTCACATAAACGCAGAGATGGAGGACTTTTGACTAACAGCCCGGCCTGCCAGAATCATGCGCATCGCCACTTTGATCACCATGTTTTCGATCATTTCTTTCCTTTCCGTCGCCTTCCCCAAAGCATATGTGTATATTCATCCCTGGTTGGGTTTCGTGGAGGCGTTTGCCATCGGCTCATTCTTCCTCCTCCTCTGCGACTTCATCTCTCCAAATGATGACCAGCGGGATATCTACATCGCAGCCAAGAGGCACAACGGAGCAAAGTGGTTCAGGGTATGGATAGTCATATCAAGCGCAAAGATGCCCAGAGTTGATTGACTGACCTTTCTTTTTTTCTTTTTAGAGCCGCTGGATCATGATCTTTCAGCTTCCAATCGTGTCGTTCGTCGTCGCTATCGGAACAGACATCACGGCAGCTGCGGGTATTTACTGCGAGTGGAAGAGCAGCCCCAAGTTTGCCAAAGCCTACTTGGGCGCATTGGGAGCCATATCCCTGACTCTGGCCATGCTGGCCATCCTCCAGTTTTACGCGCTGCTCAAAGCTGAGCTTGCGAAGCACCGGCCGCTCCTGAAGCTCATTGCGTTCAAGGCGATTGTCAGTTTGACATTTTTCCAGGCTGTGAGTCCTTACTAAATTAGCTTTCATACAAAAGAAGGGCACTAACATGGATTCTTTTTGTACAGATCCTGTTCTGGATTCTGACCGACACTGGGTCGCTGAAGGAAAGCGCCACGTTGACGTACGCCGATCTTCACATTGGCCTCCCCAACATGATTCTCTGCATCGAAATGGTTCCCCTGTCGTTATTCTTTTTCTGGGCATACCCTTGGGGGGTGTATCTGGTCGGAAAGGGAGGTTTCGATACAAAGGTGTCATTGACGAATCCATATCAGGGGGGACCGTTTGGGATATGGGCCTGGTTGCAGATGCTCAATCCTTCTGACACCTTCAGAGCAATTGTTTTCATCTTCAAGCCGTACGAGAGCTCGAAGCTTGAACCGTTGGATGACCAATTAGAGATGGAGAGCCAACCGCTTAATAACCATGGGCATTCCAGGATATAGGCTTGAGCTGTTACAAGCTTGGTAGTTATATTAAATATGATGTTCTCCACGGCATTTCTGGCCTAAATCTGTCTACGTGACTTGAAAGCGTGCACTGGACTACACTGTATTTGAACGCAAGTATCTACTCCTCAATATCCACACTTGTTTATTTGTTTTATTGTGTATTGTTTAATGTCAGTCAATCCCGATATAGGGCAAATGACCCCTTACCGTCTCAACGACACGGGGAGGAGCAGCGACGTCGGCAGCCTGTATTCCGATATCAGCAACTTCCTAGTAATAATAGCCATAAAATTCATAATCGTAGAGAATATGGCCATTCCCCGGAGGCATAGTGCTAGACGCGGGGTTGGGCTTTTATTCATCAGCCCCATCTTCATGACATTCATATTTCATCTCAAGTAGACTTACCGATGGATGGGATGGGTAGGATAGTGGACTTTACTAGTAAGTTAGCTTTCTCTTATCAATAGCCTCCAACTTATGTCTTACAGGACTGACGGTGGCTTGTGAATCACTACTTTTCCGGAAGTAGTGTACTTTATCGACAGTTGGGGCTGCAGAGCGTGACTCAACTGCACACCTAGTTGAGTCAGGTCTTGAGAGCTCATGATACTGGCCTGCGCTTGTCATTGAAGCCGGATACTCGCAGTCAGCTGAAGCTTCAAGGCAAGACATGAGGTGGAGGTTTAGTGAGTCATACCATCATGTCAAAATAGTTCTCCCTGTAAAGATGCATCCTGCATTACGACAAGAAATAACCATTGAAAAGTGGCGAGAACGTCTGCCTGAGCGACGGTCTGGTACAATGACTCTTCGAGCTATATGGTGGAACCGTGGCCCAACGCCATGTAACGCATCTGTTTGATTTTTAGACTGATAAACGAGAAGAGACTCACTTGAATTATCAACGAAAGAACGAGGGTATGCAATGCTAGCAGGTAGCTGGCGGCAGGTAGCTGGCGGCAGGTAGTGGCGCGAATGTTGGAAGGAGAAGATTCTGAAAAGCTCTATTTCTGCTATCTGTTCTGCTTCTACCTTCTAGGAATTTGGGACGAGGGGAGTAGATGCGTCTAAAGGAATGGGCGACTTGCACGGGAGATAAGGTTACTGATGTGCACTTCGAAGTGGCAGACGAACCTCCCCGCCGCCGTCGGACCAGCTGAGGAAAACGTAGAGGATGAGAATATAGGAACCTGGATGATAGGGAGGCCGTTCTATTTTCTGAAGTTCAAGGGTGAAAGAGAAGAAATGGTCACTTCGGTCAGGAACTGGGAGATCAGGCAGGCGCAGTTAACCACAGATTCAGAAGCAAAGTGAGCAGACGAAATGACTCTTTACTTGTTCACAATAGTAGCCACAATAAAGACGGAAGTAAACAATAAGACATCTCCAGAAAAGTATTAGCTAGATGATTGTTTCATATTGAGTGAAATATGTTCACATCATCCCAAAATCAATGTCGGTGGTTTCGGTGTGTATGGAAAGGCCGAGCTTGGGGTCCTATCGTTCGTCAGGTCAACTCGGCCGCAGAGGGAAATATCCGAGCCCGTCGGAGGGTGAACGGTGGAATCTTTGCTAGATTGAGGCAATGGTCTCATTGCTACATCAAGGCAATGTTCTCATGCAAGGTCTCTATATATCCGAACCCTAACTCCGGATACGTGGGGCCATGTTGCACCATCCCGCATTCGAAGGTTGCCGGCTTGGACGCGAAGAAGCCTGAAGAGTGGAGAGCTCTCCGAAGTTTGATACGGAGCTGATGATTCATCAAATGTAGCAAAAGGCTGGAGGCCAGTGCTACTGCTGGTTGGCATGGCTCAAGCTCACGAGATAATCGGTCTGCCTACATATCTGCAAAGAGTTCATCTACCGTATCTCAATGGCTTAACGACGAGGAGCATAATATAGAGCCGTTGGATAGACCTATTTCGCATATGTAGTATCCTAGCGAGAGAATGCATAGACGGCCTACTAATTGTGCCATCAATGGATCCTCGGGGATTAGATATGTCCGTTGGCAGTGGTTGAGTTGGGCCAGACGTCGATCTAGCTGGATTATGCATCCAAATCCATGCCAGCTAAATATGCCTTCCGCCGGGTAGTGACAACTTGTAAATTAGAACCGACCTATTGGATCGCTTCCTACTCAATCCTTGATACGAGTTTATACGATACGTGTGGGGTGGCACGTAAAGTGGTCGCTGGTGTAGATATATAAGGCTAAGCTTCTCCCTCTACTTTTTCCCATCTCAAAATCACCAGGTTTTATAATCATCCCCAAGACGACTACAAACGCTTACTATCCCACAATAGCCATGGCCTCCGTTCTCGTTTTCGGCCCTACGGGCAAAGTTGGGTCGTATGCCGCACGTACAGCAGCAGATCAAGGTGCTAAAGTCTGGCTGGCGATGCGAGACACAACCAAGGCTATCCCGGGTCTGACCGAGGATGCGGAGAAAGCGGGTGGCTTTCAGAGAGTCCAGGCCGACTTGCAGAAGCCAGAGACAGTGAGCGAGGCTGTCAAAGTCTCTGGTGCGAAGCGTGCATTCATCTACCTCGTCCATGGAGCTTCAGATCACCAAAAGGCCACCATTGAGGCGCTGAAGGCTGCAGGCGTCGAGTTCGTCGTATTCCTCAGCAGTTTTACCATCCTCGTCAACCAAGGCTTGCGAGAGATTTCCCCATCCGACTACATTGCATACGTCCACGCTCAAGTTGAAGCAAATTTGGAGGATACCTTTGGGCCCGATAATTATGTGGCCCTGCGCCCCGGGGGTTTCGTGACAAATTTGCTTGCAGAGAGAGACGGCGTTGTCGCTGGCAAAGTCCAATTGTACGGCGGCATATTTGAGCAAGACAACATCGTCCCGGACGACATTGGTAAAGTTGCCGGCACCGTGCTTGCGTCAGGTCCAAGAAATGGACAGAAGAAGGTGTATCTTTATGGGCCCCAAATTAGATCCATCCATGATAGCTACGTGGAAGTCGGCAGAGTGCTGGGCAAGGACTTGGAGATCATTACTCTGGGGCCCGAGGATGGGCTTAAGAAACACCTTAGCCGTGGAATGAGCGAGTCTGTCGCGAAATACATGGTTGCATTGGCGGGTACCAAGGGTCCGGACAAGGGAAATGGCGAGCGATTCCCTAGGTATCAGGAGGGTGTGGCAAATGTGCAGCTGTACACTGGCAAGCCATCAACTAGCCTTGACGATTGGGTGAAACAGAACAAGGAAATATTCAAGGCTTAACGGGTGGTATGGATGCCCGTTCGATAAGTGGAAAGATTGAATGCACTTCCTTTTGACAGAGTTACATAATATCAAATTGTCGCCACAGGACCTAAAGTGATCTATCTCTATATGTAATACTTCTAGGAGCCAAGACGTGTTAAGCGAGAAAGAACTTTTTTATACTTTTATCTCTGTATGACCATTTAGGCTGAAGTAAATGATTGGCCTAGTTATCGTACCATGACACTCGTGACGACTAACACTCGAGCTGGGTTATTGAAGAGGCGACTCTCAGATCTCGGGAGTCGCTATTATATCGTCATCAGACTTCAAATAAGCGTAACAGGAATATAGTTTCAAAAAACATTGAATGGGACGAGGGCACAATCGTCACTCCTCACCTGGTGCCAGGTGACTTTGCTTTCTTCCTCGTCGGATGCAAAGTTTAGGTTCGTTCTCCTAAGTCTAAACACCGCTGTATTAAGTATAACTTATCTCATTGGGTAGGATTTGGACACTGAGCTAACTGAGGAACCCTTAATTTTTACCAAGTTAGACGGCTTTGGCTTCTATATCGTGATTCGGCCCCTTCTCCTAGCCCCCGAAGCCGGGAAGAAGTGGTCAATGCCAAGCTTCGAGAGATAGGAGATCGGAGGCCATGGGATGGAATCCTATTATATCTATCTCTTTGTATCCAACTTACGACTTGCAGTTAGTGAACCTCCACTACTTATTTGTCTTATCATCCAATGGTCATCCCGCAAAGGTCATTAAATTCACCTGCCCATATATTAGGATGACTTGCCTTCAGGTACAAAGCTCATTGCAGGTCATTTGAAGTCTGCGTGCTGCTTCTCGATCAGAGGTCAATAAATTTACTTGTCACATGTGATTTGATCCCACGAAGATGGGACCACCTACACAACCCCTCCTCCGGCTGAATGTGAAACCACCGATGATTGGTACCTAAACGAGCTACACAAAGGGATATAAACCCCTCATTTGGTGAGGCCCTGCTCAAGTTTGGGACCAAAGTACATCTGTTGCTTCATAATGTCAACTGTTCTCCAGGGTTCAATTGCTATTATCCTCATCACATAATCTCTATTGATACCCAATCTCCTTATCCATCTTCGACATGTCTACAGCGGAGCAAGTAAAGGAGGATTACAACAAGTCCGCTCAATCTTACAATGATGCAAGCGTCCTGCCCGCGGTACTGCTTGAATCGCAGCTGATAAAGCAAGCAATCGGCGACGCTACAGACTTAGTTGTCCTTGACATCGGCGGCGGTAGTGGGATCCACGCGCGAGAAGCTGTAGAAGCAGGCGCCAGGCGCGTAGACATTGTCGATTTGTCTACAGAAATGCTCAAGGTTGCTGAGGGAATCGAGAAGTCACTCGATCGCAAGGGCCGTATGCGTTTCTTCGAGGCCGATGTCGCCAAGCCAATGGATCACTTACCGCTTGACCCGGAATACGACATCGTTATGGCGAACTGGGTCTTTGATCACGCTGGCGATGTTGATACCCTCAAGGCGATGTGGGCGAATATTTCCATGTACCTTAAGGCCGGCGGCAAGTTTCTCGGCATTCGAATGGCAGATTTGTTCGGTCCAGCTGCCAGCACCGACAAATACGGAATATCTTTGAAAAATGTAAAACCAATCCTAGATGGCTTCACATACACCTGTCTAGTCCACGCGACACCCGCTTGGGAATTTGATGGCAAAACTGTGGAAATGAGCTATTCGGGGTCATTGGAAATGCATGAAAAGAGTGGCTTGACGGACATCGAGGTAATTCCATATGAAGATACTGAGGCTGTCAAAAGCGACCCTAGCTATTGGGAACTTTGGCTGCAGAGGCCCGTTTTTGCTGTTGTTCGAGGCACGAAGAAGATTGTGTAGGCATGAGGACGACGAACATATTGCACGTGATGTATCTTGTGCTAGAACCTTGCGGAGATTATGCTTTCTATTTCAACAGAAGCACCTTGGGTCTATCTGGAGGGTTTCCTTAATTTCTTCTGTGGATGTCATATGATAGCTTGTTCTATTTACAATTCATAGGCTTGTTTTGTTTTGACACTTGAATATCTTGCAAATTATCATCAATAACCTCACAGGTATGAAGACAATATTATTCTAAATAGCGACCAATCCATCTAATTTGACCAGTAATGCGGAATGTTGCTCACCCCTGCCGGGTCTAGTATCTATCAGGTGTATTTATTTAATTCTAAATTTTGGCTTTGATACTCGAGAGTCGCTGCTTTTCCTGGTCCTTCAAAGTACGTCTTAGGATCTTTCCACTGGGGCTCTTCGGTATCACGTCTAGAAACGCCACCCCTCCGGTCAGCCACTTGTATCTGGCTTTGTGCTCCTTTACATGCTGTGAAAGTGTCAGGGCTGTCTCTTTGTCGTCCAGCGGAGCTTCATTGGACTTGACCACGAAAGCTTTGGGGACTTCGTCTGCTCGGGGGTGCGGGACAGGTATCACGGCGCAGTCGGATACGAAGGGATGTGCCATAAGGTGAGCCTCGAGCTCAGCTGGAGCAACCTGGTGACCCTGTACACCAATTTTAGTTCAGGGAGAGAGGGGTGCAATAGATAAGAATACTCTTACCTTCACTTTGATGAGCTCTTTTATACGGTCAACAACGACTAGGTGTTCGTGGCCAAGGGATGATTTCCGAACCAGCACTTCGTCCCCAGTTTTGAGCCAGCGGCCGTCGTCGTCCCAAACGAAAGTTTCGGCGGTTGCTTTCTCATTCTCGAAATAGCCAAGAACAACAGAAGGAGACTGTACAAGCAACTCTCCTCGTGTTTCATGGGATGTAACCTCCTTCCCTTTCACATCCACGAGCTTGATCTTGGTACCTGGTATCACAGACCCAGAGGAGCCAACAAGGCCATCAACTTCGCTTGTAATTACCACCATCGGGGAAGCCTCCGTTAGACCTGAAAGCTTAGCAAACCGCTCTCCAAACTCAATCTAGAACGGATACAACATGAGCTTACCATATGATTGTGTGATGGCAACTTCTGGGTACCTTTTGAGGTAACTCCGGATCAGCTCAGCACCTAGGGGAGCCGCTCCACTGTACACAGATCGCACACTGGTCAAGTCTCTCCTCCTACAAGCTTCCTCGTTGTTCATCATCTGTATGATAATGGGAGGAACGAGATAAAGTCTTTCAATTTTGAACTTCTCGACAGAGTCAAGGAATGTACCCAGATTGAAGCGAGGAAGAATAATAACCTCATCGCCTCGATACTGACTGGCAAGGGCAATAACTGTTAGACCGTATATGTGGCCTAGAGGTAGCACACCAAGATTGACCTGCGTCTTGACCCCGCGTTGCTTCCTTGTTGAACCTTCAAATGCGGCAATTTGGAGAATATTGGCGATGATGTTGAAGTGAGATATCTTAACCGCTTTCTATCGGTGGGTGGGATTAGCGACCGGCAATGAGACAGCTTGTGATGAATGTGACTTACAGGAAGCCCGGATGTCCCACTCGAATAGCAGAGGTAAGCAACCTGTCGTGCCCCTTGGCCTTTCGTCCATGACAATGGTTTCACTGCGGGTAATGTACGCCCTTCAGCAACTAGGTCATCTATGCTTGGTGGTACAACACCAGTTACCTGAACTTCTCGTGTCTCACTTGGGGGCAGGGGCAGGATAAATATGGCCTCTTCTGGAATCTTGACAGCTCTTGCCGCTTCTAGGGCAGTTCCGAGGAGAGGAATGCTCGTGAAAATCGCACTCGCGCGAGAAGAGCGAAGCTGCTGTTGAAGCTCCGCCACAGAGGAGGCGGCACTGGCGGGTGTGACAATTCCGTTGAGGCGATGAATGGCATGCGTGAGGGGGATATAGTCAATCTATTAATTCGCCATCAGCATTTGTGTTCGAGCTCAAGGTGCTGTGATGTTGGTTCGCCTCACTGTGTTTAGGCTGAAGAGACAGACGACACGATCCCACTCAGTGCCGTCATGAGGGTCGAAGCGTAGGCGCCTAGCCAACGATCTAGCAATACATTCGGTGCGATCTACGACATCTCGAGCCGTGTAAGTCTTGCCCGTGAGCCCGCATGTGTACGGACTGCGAGATAGGTCCAGGTTGTATCGGCCATGGCGCTCGTTGCTCAAAAATTCGCCCACGGTTATTGAGTCCGGAATCTCTGTGCCAGAAAAATAGTGTTAGCCACAGATGTAGTTCTTATGGAATGAGTGTCTGAGAATGGCTAGGCCATCTCCCATTGGTCTCCCGTTGGGCAAACCCGAGAGGCATTGCCTTTGCGGTATATGGTGACGTATCAGTGTGGTGGAGGATGGGGGAGTTAACCTACCAGGTAATTGAGGGACCCATGCCGGTGGATGGAAGACCATGATGAGCCAATTAGCGAATGAAGTTATGCTTTACTGCTATCAGACAACTGTCTACAAGCACTACTAGCAATACTTACAGCACATACTTGTATGGCGGATTGGGTATCCTTGAATCGCGTGTAACCTCGGTTACTGAAGACCCTGCTCACCGGCCGGCAGTCTAATCTACAAGCCCCCAGCCGGATGGCGAAGAGACGGGCTCTTGTTTAACTCCAGATAGTTAAAGATGTACCCCAGACTTACCCCGCAGTCTAACGCGGCCTCCCCGGACTTTCAACTGAATCCCAAAAAATTAGACTAACCACCGTCTCGGACAAAGATTTCTGGCGGCGGTGCTAGCCAGAGGAGAGATTGATTTAGCACTCTGCTATATAAAACGGATGCGTCTATCAATGGTCTTTTCGTTGTATCCTCAAGGACTCTCTGAAGACCTCTCAACTTCGTCCATTGATTATCTCATTGCTGATCTTCCCATTCACCAGCCTTCATCATGGCGGCAGACTTGGAGCGAAGTTCATCTAACAAAGCGGACGTTTGCCAGGCTGAGAACGTTAAAGATGCCGCAAATGTGTCCGAGAAGTATGGAGAGACCATGGAAAGATTTGCCCATCTTGACGAGAAGAAGATTTTGCGCAAATTAGACTTGCGCATTATTCCAATGTTGACGCTTCTCTACCTTCTTTCCTACCTTGATCGTAAGTTACCTTTTCGCTAAAACCAACCTATTAGATCTTTATGTGGTTCAAAAGCTGAGTTCATGTATTTAACAAGGCGGCAACATCGGAAACGCTAAGATCGAGGGTCTCGATGTTGACTTGGGTCTAACCCCAGACCAGTATAACTGGTGCTTGACTGTGTTTTTCTTCTCTTATTCTGCTTTCGAAGTTCCCAGCAACATGGTGCTGAAGAAGCTTCGTCCAAGTGTGTGGCTGCCCTGCATCATGGTCGCTTGGGGGACTGTGATGACACTTATGGGGTTGGTAAAGGACTATCATGGTTTGCTCGTGGCCCGAATATTTCTCGGAGTGACTGAGGCAGGGCTATTCCCTGGAGTTGCAGTAGGTTTTCTCAACTTCCATTCTGTTTGCGTTCTTGACGCTAACGTTCTCAGTTTTATCTGACTATGTGGTATTGTCGACATGAAATGCAACTACGCCAGGCCCTCTTCTTTGCTGCTGCGTCTGTGGCTGGAGCATTCAGCGGACTGCTCGCCTTTGGCATTGCTAAGATGGACGGAGTGGGAGGTCTGGCCGGGTGGCGCTGGATCTTCATTCTTGAGGGCATCGCGACAGTAATTTGCGCAGTGTTTGCATTCTGGGGATTGTACGACTATCCGGAGACGGCAAGCTTCCTTAGCGATGATGAGAGGGAATTCGTCATCTACCGGCTACGATATCAGGGAGGCATGGTTGGTGCCTCGAGTGAGGATGTGGAAACTCGCGTCCCAGAGGACCAAGAGTTCAAGTGGGTTTATGCCAGGCAAGCCTTTGGAGGTTTCCAGGTCTGGATTATGATCATAGCCTATTGGGCGGTAAGCATACCCGTTCTTCCCAATCCATTGACAACAGAAGGCTGGTACTAAAACGGTTGATTGGCGGCCAGGTTGTTTGCCCTATTTTTGGTATCAGTCTCTCATTGCCCACGATCATCAGAGACCTAGGTTACCAGCGCCAGACAGCTCAGCTAATGACTGTTCCCATCTATATCGTCGCTTCGATTTTCGGGGTTGTCATCGCATATTTTTCTGATCGGGTCAAGCTTCGTTCCCCTTTCAGCATTGGCTGTCTAACCCTGACTGTGGTAGGACTGACCATGTAAGTGTTTTGTGCCCAGTATCGAGCAGTTGTACAACAATGGCTAATATTTCCCCTGTTTCTTCCTGCAGGTGTCTTGCTTCCACAAATCGACATGTGCTGTATGCTGCACTGTTCCTCGCAGCCATGGGCATGTACGCTGCCTCATCCGGTGTCATCACCTGGCTCGCAGTGAATCTGAGTGGGAGTTGCAAAAGGAGCATTGGTATGGCAATACAAATCTCAGTCGGTAATCTTGGCGGGGCCATGGCCTCAAACTTCTATCGTGCCAAAGACGCGCCGCGCTACATTTTGGGACATTCTCTGTCTTTGGGATTTGTTATCGCCGGAATTCTGAGCATGGTCAGTCTCTTGGTCACGTACAACGTAATCAACAGGAAGAGAGAGCGTGCGCTTAGGGAAGGCAAGAGGGCAGAATATTCCGAGGAGCAACTATCTTTCTTGGGGGATAAGGCTATTACCTGGCGATATATGTACTGAGACAGAGCAGAGAGTAGAACTTACCAAGCCGACCTGTGGGGCCTACATGAAGGTCTGGGTAGGCGGTAATATGGTCATGCGTCTCAATAATGGTCCCAACTATTAAGCTTAAGCCCTGATCAGAGACTGTTCATATCATGGATCATCACTGAGTATGTAATGCGGAGGGATGATGCATAGGAACCTTGCCAAACGCTCTGTTCATCTTAGCCGCGTTCTATGAGCCGACAAATGGCCCATCTCTACAGACACCTGTCTAGTAAACAATGTATTCCAGAGTGCAGTAGTGGTAGATTCCCGGTTCGGACAAGCAAGTCCGAGAACATGTTGTCAATCTTCTAGGTTCCTCTTTCTCGCCTCGGGAATGAACTGTCCTCTATGTCGAAACTTTGGTAGCTATGTAGAAGAGACTACGTTTGCTACTGACGGTATTTCGGTTTCTATGTTTCTTTTCTGGTATATAGCTGCTTAAATTTACAAAGATCAAAGGCGAATAAGAGCCACTAGGAGGAATACGCCGCTCATCCTGTGTATTTACTTCTCTATGATCTCAGTACTAACTAGACCCATCCAATTAGCTCCGACACCACTTCTATTCTACTTGAGCGGCAAGCTTGGAACTATCGGCGGTTCAAATCTGAATGCTACACCAAGAAAAGTAGCCAGCTCTAATAATAGCTTCCTCATCTGTACCAGCTCTTCTCGGTCAACACCATTCAGTAGCATCCCAATCTGATGGTTGCGCATCTGGCCTGGACTATTCATTCCATATAACGCCGAGACCATGGCAAAAGCGGAGGTTGTGTCATCCAGTATCCCGTCATATGAAAAGATTCTCCCGTACACAATATCTAACCCGGAAACCGTGAGCCTCTTGTTCAATTTTGGGAGTTATGATTTAGTACAATACCTTTAACCAGGAAAAAGTAGTCTGGACTGGCTTCTTCAGTGTCGGACGCTTTGAAATACGGATTGCCATCATACGCTCTGTGGAAAAACTTGTCGCCCCTCTTGATCGCCACCTCTTCAGACTCCGTGGACCGCGGGGAGCTTTTCAACTGAAGGTTTTCCGGGGTGCATGTAAAGAGTGTCCGGAGAGCATTTCCTGTTCTTGCTGCACCTACAATCCCGAAAGCCTTGGTAAGGCCTTCTCGAATCCTGTGAACCGCGTCGTACTGGTCATTTGGAGACAAACGAGACAACAAGTGCGCCTGAAGATGTGAATAGACTTGTGGGATCACGTCGGCATAGTTCAGAGATCCTAGATTGACAATGACAATCATGTACCATCGGACCTTCAGGCTATCCTCATTCAGTGCGAGGACAGGCGCGAAGAAGGAGTCGGGAAGTAGAGGAGTGGGCGGAAGAGAAGTCATTGTTGTTACAGTTTGGTCCTGGACTTTGGTGGGCTGCATACACGATGTACACGGATATTTGAGCAAATGGCCCCTTCCTCGAATTAATTAGAGAGCGGGAGCATATTGATGTGGGGTTTTACACAACTTCATGTTGAAGAGGGGAACATGCTCGAGCTGGATGGAACTGAAGCTCCGGTAAGTGGGTTAGACAAGCCTTTCGGCCCGGACTTAAGCGGATGAGGACTGGAGGCGCCTTGGGGTAACCGATGGTGATGTGCTTTTATCAAGGAACCATCATAGGGAAAGCATTCGCAAATCGAAATAAGTAGAGTGCACCTGTTCGAAGCTAGGATCCCATTACTGAGTACCATAAACTAGTCAGCACTGTTTCCAAAATGTTTGTTCTCGCTCCTTTGTTGGAAATACCGACTTCGGAAAAGAGTCGCAGGGTAAGTGAGGCCGAGCCGTTGAGTTGAATTCATAAACTGACGGTAATCTACTCTATCCGGTTCCTAGTTCCTCGAATTACTTTCCAAAGTTGCAGTTGAGACTCGCCGAGATGAGCTAGGATGTAAAGCTTACGGCTGGTTTACCAATGCCGAGCCCACTGAGGCCATTCCAGGACACTGGCTTCGGGGCTTTGAAGTGTTCGCCCTTCTCCCCTCTCCCCCAATAACCAAAAATCCCTTGCTGACCGACAGCTGGTTTAGATATGAGACCCCGGCAGACAATCGAGAAAAGCACCGTGCAGGCCAAGCCTATAAAAATTTCCGTGAGGCGGTCTTGAGCGAGGGTCTGCTCCCTGAATATCCGGATATGCGTTTCTGGTGCCCTACAGGAGCCGGGTTTCTTACTCGCACGCCCGTAGAATTTAAGAGCAGCGGAGATCCGTCGGCGGGATACATCGTCATCCAGGACCTAACGCTGGACAATTCAGCTGCTAAGGCCAAGGCGGTCGACAAGCTTAATGCTTTTGCCAAATCTGCCGAGGCTAGCATAGAAAGCTTTTACATCCTCGAGAGGGAGAATGCTAAGGATGGCGATGACTTGATTGTATTTGCGAGATTTGATTCGGCCGAAAACTACGCATCCTGTCGCGCTACAGAAGCTGGCCAAGCATGGAAAGCTGCCGAGGCAATCGCCAAGTCCGTGAGGACTACGCAGTGGAATGAGAGCGGCGTTGGATTCTTGGGACGACCATAGTGTAGATCAATGGGTTTTATGGGAGTTTCTGAATATTGCTCGTATCATCACATCGGTCTGCTGGACTTTCTGTTTGCCATCCTATATGAGCCAGCAATTTGAAAACCGAGAAGAAATTATCAAATAACACTAGATGGCACATACGCTGGCTCTCATTGTGCGATCGTATTGTTCCCTACCTACTCATAGACTCCTTCATAGATACGTACCTGAGACAATAATATCATCGATACGTACACAATAAGATCAAAGATACTTATTTAACAACATTGTAGACACGTATAGAATAGGAGTCTAACCGCTCATCTCAGTTACATGTTTAGTTCCTCAGGACCTTCCAAACGCGACGCAGATTTGGCTTCCGCCCATGCCCTCGAACCTTCTCCGTCCAAGGTGTCATACTCGCCTGCCACTCTGGACCGTAGAGCCCATTCTCGGCATCGTAGTAGTTCCACCCGTACCAAGATGCATAATCCGCCCCGCCATATGCCTTCTCGTGCTTGTAGCGGCGGCCGTTGTTCCATCCAGGGACCAGGCTTAGCGCGGCGCTGTGCTCTTTATTGTACCAGTCATTGTAATCCTGGTCCCATCCATCAGCTGGAGTTCCGCCGTTGCTGATCAGCGTCGAGCCGATGGCCGGGGGCTTGGGCAGCAAGTGAGGCTCCGAGGTGAGCTCTTTTTGCTGGATTGTGTCGCGACCGTTGATGAAGGACGCGACCTCCCAAGCGAGAGAGGCCAGTTGGTCGCCATTCTTCTTGACATCCTCGTCAAAATACGACGATGATTCAAGCACGGGACGAATGTCGCTGATGAAGTATGTGGTGTTGTATTTTGGGGTGAGGTCGTCTTGAGCCTCGAATACGAAGAAACCCTCAATGCCGGGGACGATCCTTGGAGGGGCGAGGACAGCGTCTGGGGGCAAACTTGTGCTGTCATCCTTGGGCTGAGCCAAGCGAAGAATAATTCCGGGAACGGCCATGATGCTGAGTTGGAAAGTTAGATTGTACTAGTAAACGGCGCAGCAATCCGTGGCAGGTTGGTCAAGATGAATCTATTGCTATGTGCGTGAATTGATGCCCCGTCATAGATGGAGAGGCGGTGGTGTTATAATACTACAAGAGCAAGTACCAAGACCTAGCCGCCTATCCGGACGTATGTCCCCGAGTATCTGCTCCGGATTTTAGACCGGTATTCAAAGTCCAGCCTTCTCCGCACCAATGATGGATGGCTTGGACTTACCCGAACTCGGTTCATTGCCACTCTTGGGCAAAACCATGTCCGGTCGGATCAGGCTCCCCAAGAACGGAGGGGACCTTGGCATGGTCCCCAAAGCCGTTGGCTGGCTCCTATGCTGGCTCCTATAACAATCCGACATATATTTCGTTGGCACAAGTAGTAGCAGTACGTGTGTCCCTTGCATTGCATTCCTGCTATCGCTCGTAATCGAAGATCTCGCTGGATAAACATTTCCCTTCCCGAACCATGCCATTACCAACCTCAATCCCGTCATTTGATGAGCTCCCATTGCAAAAAGGGGACCCAATTCACTCAGCATGGGGTCTTTGGGGCACGGGGCCGGAAAGCGCTCTAGGAAGCCTCAATTACCTGACCGATGAGCTCGTGCTTAAGACAATGAAGGAAGAGGTGAGGACAGGCGAACGTGTTGGTCTGAAGTAGGTTTCCATCCTTTCCTTTTGAACTCTGAGGAATGGAAAAGAGTGTCCGAAAATGACAATCACTGACCTGGCCATCCATCTTGGTTTCAGCCTCCCCCTGGACCTTGTTAATCCGCCTCTTCTTGGCCGTGTCGGTTTTGAGCAGAAAGTGATTGACAAGCACCCGCGCGTCATCAACGACGATGTGGTACGTCTCGACTGAACGTCATTTCGAGCCATCTGACGCCAGGCTGACACGCTGATGGCAGATCACCTTTAATACTCAAGGTAGTTCGCAGTGGGACAGTCTCCGCCACTTCGCCTATCAAGGTGACAAAAAGTTTTATAATGGGTAGCTTCATTATTCGTATCCTGTACTATGATTTATTGACTCACTCTAACTTCTAATTCCAATAGGACTACTCAAGAACAAATCCACGCATCTCCTCGGACCGAAATCAACAGCTTGCAGTCTTGGACCACGAGAAACCTCGCAGGCCGAGGCGTTCTCATAGATTATGCTAGATACGCGAAGCTACATGGCATCTCCTACGAAGCCTTCTCCGCACACCCCATCACCGTCGAAGACATTGAGGCCATTGCTTCTGAACAGGGCGTCAAGTTCGCCGTGGGAGACGTGCTGTTCGTCCGTACCGGCTATGTGGCTTCATACAAGGCAGCCGACCAAACCAGGCGCGAGCTGGCGGCCCAAGGAAGATGGGTTGGTGTGAGGCAAGGTCAAGCAACACTTGAGTGGCTGTGGAAGAAGCAGTTTGCGGCCCTCGCAAGTGACTGCCCCGGCTTCGAAATGATTCGTAAGTTTCCTCCTTTTACCCTATGGTTGAATTCAGTGATCTAATAAAAGGACCAGCACATGCTGAGGGTGAGGGAATGCTCCATCCAGTTGTGCTATCAGGCTGGGGAACACCACTCGGGGAACTGTTTGATCTAGAGGCGCTGGCGGTTTTGGCAGAGAAGCATAATAGGTGGTCCTTCTTCTTTACGTCCTCGCCCTTGAACTACACTGGAGCCGTGGCATCCCCGCCGAATGCGACCGCAATCATGTAGATTAGTGATAATGAAAGTATGAGAGAACTTGGCTATCAACTACTCCTGCATGCACAATATAGATGATGAATCGCGACAGATGCAGAGAGATTCCATCGTTCCGTATGAAACGATCATGGTGATGGGTAGAAATACACGGTAGTTTCATATTAAAATCTACGCAAAAGGCAGAGACGACGTGAACAGACCATATAACGTGTCACGCCAAAGCTGTTGCTCCTGCTCGTCCAAATATGTAGCGAAATTTGATGCGGAGCCATCTCCAAACCACCCGCTACCAGACTCTGCAGCCTGAAAATCATGCAAATCAGAAACATAATTTTCGGCTGTTAGTGGCATGGTACTATCATCATCCAATGTCATCAGCGGCGGGTGTGTCAACTCGAAGAAGCTTTCGTCCAGTCCTTCATGTGCAAGTATAACGTCACCATCGTTGTTTCCAGCATCTATAGAAACTCCGCTCTGTCGGATGCTGATATTGTACTCGCGGACCATTTCTTTGAGGATGGCGAGCGGCTTCGTCATCCCAAAATTACATCCCCTCTGCATCTCGCTAAGGCATGTCCAGAAGAACGATATGCTTTCTAGATACCGGCCCCGGCTATGTCTTTCCGCGCGTAGGACGATACTGACCGCGGAATAAGTAGCATAGCATAACAGAAAGGGCCCGCCACGGAGGGTGAATGTGTCTCTCAAGGCCCGTAGAAATTTCTCAATCATAAGGGCGCTGTGCAGACAAGCCTCCTCGCTGCGAGCAGTAATGTTACTGTCAGAGTGGTGATATAGATGGCCGTCTTCCAAGAAAGCCCGATGGAGCAGGATGTTGAGGGCGTGAAACGTGGTGCTGTTATGGAACGTGTCAGAACAAGAAAAATCTTAAATCAACCACGGTGTTGCAAGATATTGACATACTGATGGTTAATCTTGTGAGGAGGCGGTGCTTGTCTTCCACAAGTTTCAGCGTCAAAGTGAAGATGACTTGGCAAGGAACTGCTCCATTCCTGGAGCTCCTTCTCGATTTCTACCAAGTCACACTGTATGTCCGTACTAGAGCATTTGATGGCGCCAATTCCATACAGCTTTCCTATCCTGGTAGATATCTGGAGCAGCCGGGCAACTGCGCTGAATGTTGACACGGCGTGGGCTGGCTGTGGCGCGTAACTGGGCGGGTTGAGATGCACCGTCTGAGGATCAGGGTCCATGTAAGGCTCCCACTTCTCGAGCTCTTCAAAAGTATCCAGAAACTCAAATGGCACACGAGCCTCGATCGGTGCGAGCATACACGGCCGGCCAAGATACAGCGACTGTGTAGCGTCCGTGGCAAAAGCTCCCCAATACAGCCTTTTACGCATCTCCTGCTCCAGGTCCTGATTTAGAGCTCCTTCGGAAGATCTCATCACACTCGTTGACTGGAATCCTTGGTGATCTGGCCCAAGTGTAAGGTGGCAGCCCAAATCAATGACCATCCGATATGCGATGCCTGATAAGTTCCAGCCAGCGCTCGCCCGACCATGAGATACCAGCGACGCACTCATCAGAAGCAAGCCGACTGCAGAGGGGATACTCGGGCGAACAATCTCAGGTCCCAGCAACTGGTAGAAGCGATTGCAGAACTGGCTGCCGATATTCTTTGGCCCTTTCGGGTCTTCCCTGAAGCAAGGCCTGTTGCTAAAGAGGGAGCTAGAATAGTATATGGCATTGAGCAGGAGCTTATTGCACCAGGGCCCCCCTCCGCTGGCAAGGCTATCGATAATGGCAGGGCGGTATGAAATCAGATACGTATAGTGCTGAATATTGAAGTGCAAGTCGATCAGGTGTTTCGCCAAGTCCACGTCACAGCCGTCTAGATCAACATGAATATGGGGTTGATTGTACACCCAGGTCTCACGTTGGCTCTGCAGCGCGGCGTAACTCATCAAACGGTCCTTGATAGCTGCGCGTGCCTGGTAACTTTGAGTCTTGTTTGTCGTAATAAAGCCTCTCCCCTTTGCTGCGCTTGTACTGTTCATAACACTGGTCAACCCATGGACGGACGATACACAGCCATCCTGCTGAGAGATACCAGCGACATGAGCCTCGCCCATGGATAGCTCAGATAGGCGATCCCGGTCGTCAATAGATGACTGTTGTCTGTGCGGGGTGCGACCAATGCCTGATCCAACACTTGCCGGTGATGAGTGGTGATGCGCATTATCGTTGTCAGGTACTGTATCCGCCATCAAAGGGCTGAGTATCGATGGCATGTAGTCAGAGTGAGAGGACCCAACCACATTCTCCTCCACCACTCCTAGATTGACCATGTCGAGGCTAGGAGATGACAATGTATCCGTCGGCTTTTCAGCGATAGGAACAGCTTCTTTAGGGGATGAACTGTTCTTCCGGCAATCAAGGGACACGCTGGAAGGGACGAGAATGCCCTGCTGGGGTAGACTTCCCAGGTCACTAAAACCCGGTGCGTCTATGTTGATCATGATTTCATGTGGCTGACGGGATCCAATCCTTTCTAGTTGGTGCTCTTCTTTTTCTGCCACAGGAGATAGGCTGCCCGAACACCAGGTTTGGATCCATTCTTCAGTGCTCATGTCCACTGGAGAAAGCCCGGCGTTCTTCATGTGTTTCAACATCGTAGAGAGCGCAGTCTCAAGCCGGTTAACGTGTGCTCTAGATGGCCGGGGCTCTCGCCGAGCATCTCTCAGGTACACGCAGTCCAGCTCATCCGCGATGCACTCGGCACACCGAGGCTGGGTGCCGCAACACCGAACCTTCTTGAGTCGACAAGACGAACAGGTCTTGCATGTCTTCCGAGGATTTGCCTCCTTTGCTGTGCCGCCATCTTGGGAAGCAGCACTCTTCTTCCGAGTTGCAGCTACCATGGTGAGCCTGGGTACAAGAATAGCCGGCTAGGAGGTTTGAGCCCTGTTGTCTTAGGATGAGACTGACAAAGTGGGCTGATTCTGTTTCAAGGGAAAGCAAGCAACTTGCTATCCATCACCGTATTCAAGAAACCAGATGGATAATGAAGTGGCCGGCATACCAATACCACGCCGTGAGGGGAGGTACGTAGCCGTAATCTCCGGTCAACATGGGGCACGGTCCGGGGCATTTGCGCGGGGAAAGTCCGAAGTCAGCACATCTTCGGGCCAATACGATTCATTCATCGTTCTCTTGCCATCGGATCCCGGTCAGGGCTCACCCCTCCCTGCGTCATCTTGCGCCAATTACAGCTCTTTCCACACGCGGCTTACCCCTTGGCCGGACTCTGACATCCGACCTACAAGTTAGTGTCTTTATGCCTCCTATACTCTCGGCACTTGTATCCAGACGAACCAATAAGCCGAAGTCAGACGACATTGTTCTGTTCCAATGGACATGTATCGCTCCGAAACGCTGGTAGAGAATGTATATAGCAAGGAGCGGAAGAATGCAATGTTGGATTTCGTCACCTCCGACTGTCATACAAATCTTTCTTGCGTGATCCCATTGACTGACGTGACCTTCCATCCGCCATGGCATCATCAAGTATCGACGTTTCGTCCATTGGACAGACTAATGGCACCGAGAATGGCCCAGTTGTTGAACACATTGATAACGCATCTCCGGAAAAAGACGTGGCGGATGCCCAACTCAATGGACTTTACAAGGTCATTGAACAACCTCTCGGCCAGCGTAAACATATACGCATCGCATGCTTGGGGGCTGGCTACTCGGGACTCATGATGGCCATCATCTTCAGTCAGAGACTTCAGGGGAAGAACGCCGAATTTGTCATCTATGAGCGAAATGAAGATCTCGGTGGCACATGGCTAGAAAATAGGTCAGTTTATAAAATCTTCCATCTATCACTTTTTCGCTAAACGGTACAGGTACCCTGGGTGTAAATGCGATATTCCTGCGCACAACTACGCATATAGCTTTGCGCCCAAGCCGGACTGGCCAAACTACTATGCCACATCTGAACAAATTCACCAGTACATGCATGATGTTGCCAACCAGTATGATTGTGAGAAGTACGTCAAATACAACCATAGTATTCGATCTGCAGTGTGGGTTGAAGATATTTCCAAGTGGCAAATCACTGTTGAGAAAACAGCCAAGAGACTCACATTTGTCGATGAGGTTGATATTTTCATCAACGCCGGCGGCGTTCTCAAGTAAGTGATTACACCTCCCTTATAGCAAACATTCAAGTCAATCTCACAATTTATCTGTGAATAGCAATTGGAAATGGCCAACTATTCCCGGTCTTTCATCGTTCGAGGGCAACCTGGTTCACTCTGCCAAGTGGGATACAGAATATGACTTCAGCGGAAAACGAGTAGCGCTTATTGGTATTGGGTCGTCTGGGATCCAAATCGCCCCCCAGCTTGCTAATATCAGCGGGTCACTTGATCTCTTTGTCCGCAGCCAGACTTGGATTTCTCCAGGACCGGGAATCAATGAACCCACGGCCAATGATCCCGAGATGGACGATGAGTATAATTTCTCTGAAGCAGCCCTCGAGCTGTTTAAAGATCCCCAGTTTCTCCGAGACTATCGGGCAGCCATGATCGATCGTCGCAATGTCAACTATAAACGATGGTTTACCGATAGCGAGGAGCAGGCCCATGCAATCAACCTCTTCCGTGAAAGCATGAAACAAAGACTCGGTGATAGTGAGAAGGGGCGCAAAGCTGCTGAGCTACTCTTGCCTTCCTTTCCGGTCGGATGCCGAAGACCTACTCCAGGACCCGGCTTTCTGGAATGTTTGGTCAAAGATAATGTTGAGCTAAGATGGAATGATATCCAGAAAATCACGTCCAAGGGCATCTTGACAAAAAATGGCGATGAGCGAGAATACGACGTCATAGTCTGCGCTACTGGCTTCGATACCTCGTTCAAGCCGGCTTTCCCCATAATCGGGCGAAGGAATATCTCCCTCGCGGAGAAATGGACGACGGAGCTGCCTCGAGCATACTTTAGTGTTGCTGTTCCCGACTTTCCCAACTACTTTTGCTTCATCGGACCCAATACCGTCATAAACAATGGCTCATTGGTCCTCGGAATCCAGATGACGGCCGTTTACATATATCGATGGATCGAGAAGATGCAGACCGAACTGCTCAAGTCGATTGAAGTTAGGCAGGAAGCCAATGATGAGTTCAATGAGCACATCCAAACATATCTGCAAAGGACCGTTTGGACGGGGAATTGCCGAAGCTGGTATAAGCACAACGGCGTGGATGGCCCTGTGACGGCTGTGTATGGAGGCACTACATTCCACTATATGGAGGCCCTCAAGAACCCGCGGTGGGAAGATTTTCACATGGTTCGGGATCCTGAGGCAATGAGAAATCGGTTCGCGTATTTGGGCAATGGATTCACACTAAATGAGACGAACGGAAAGACTGTCGGTATAACGCAAACTATTGACTTGGACGAGTTTCTCGGTTTATTTGTGCTGCCAAATACCCATGGCTAATGGTCTACCAACTCTCTGTGTATAGAGATCACTTTTCAATCTAGCCAGAAGATACATGATATTGATAACTCTATCCGATGAACTTTCGGATGTTTTCTTGCTTTTTGTGCCTTTGGATAGGGTAATACGTTATGATTTACATCAGTGCATGGGATCTTCTACTGGCTTTAACTTTAACTATTTGTTTTGTAGGTGATCGTTTGTTTCGATTAAGCATACCTCTCCCCTAGACTAAACATCGTGAACATGCTAAAAACAGCTTTTAACCCATATCAGAATGAGATTTCTCCACCTATCCATAGACCCATAGCATCAGTAAGGAGGATACTCAAGGCAGCTTGTAGTGGGACAATCTCCGCCACTTGACCTATCAAGCTGACAAGAAATTGGTCTGCTTATCTAGCGGCATCGTGATCTTCTCCAAGGCACCCAAGTACCCAGGCTATTGTTATGTCCGTTGGCGGTCGGGCTGACAACTACCCATGCTCCAAGCCGATTACCCCCAAGTCAACAGAAGAATGTCTTTATGCGCAAAGCCAGAGTCCTTTTCCCAAGCCCAACCCATTGGGATATCATGCGCAGCAGCTTAGTGCACGGCGCATAGCTAAAAATCCGACACGACAAACGCGGCGTTTTCGGGGAGGGCACGATCGCATGTCCGGCCTAATCCGCGGAGCGGACTAGACCTACAACCCGAGGCCGGCTTACTTGCATACAGCCAGGTTCGGTATACATGGGTGTAAGCTTAAGATTCGTGGCAGCAGTGCGAGATTCGTGGCAGCCGTGCGAATTCCAAGACTGTATATATAGCCAGGGGACTTAATCAGTTGTCTTTGTGCTTACTCAGTTTTCATCATCATGTATGGTTCGACGAATATGAGCGCAGCAAAAGATTTCAAGGTTGTTATTGCAGGCGGAGGCATCGCGGGGCTTGCCCTGGCCCTCATGCTCGAGCAGTTCGATCTAGACTACGTCGTCCTCGAGGGCCACAGGGAGATTTCGCCAGCGGTTGGCGCCAGCATTGGCATGTTTCCCAACGGAATACGCATCTTGGACCAACTTGGATGTGTGGAGCAGATCGAGGAGGTGTTTGCAGGCATCATTCCCTACAAGAAGACCTATACTCGAGACGAGAAGGGCCAAGTCTTGTCCACGATGGATGACTTTTTCGAGCGGTTGAGAGTTAGATTCGGATATGGGCTGTATTTCTTTGACCGTCAGAAGATATTAGAGATCTTTTACGACAAGCTCGAGCACAAAGAGCGCGTTTTGACGCAGAAGAAGGTCACCAATGTCAACCTGGTTAAGGGGGGTGTCGAAGCCATTTGTGCCGATGGCTCCGTCTTCACGGGAACTTTCATCGTGGGTGCAGATGGCATTCACAGTGCCGTGCGAGAATCAATGACTGAGCTTGGCCACAAGCTTCAGCCGGGTTACTTTGACCCCAGCGAAAAGGACAGGGTACCGTGCTACTATAGGTGCAGCTTTGGCATCGCTCAGCATGTCCCGAACTGGGTTCCCAGTGAGCAGCACCTAGTTTTTGGCACTGGATGTTCTCAGCTGGTCGTATCGGGTCCCGACGACAAGGTATATTGGTTTCTGTTCGAGCAGCTGCCAGAAATCAAATACGGCAAGGATATCCCTAAGTATACCAAGGAGGAGGAAGCGGAGTTTGTGAAGCAAAACAAAGATGTTCCCATCACAACTGAGATTACATTCGGAGATGTCTACAAGGCTCGGATCTCGTCCACATTGACTGCACTCCATGAGGTAGTGTACGAGAAGTGGTTTTTCAATAGAATCATCACATTAGGCGACTCTTGTCATAAGGTAACCCCCCCCCCCAACCAGTCTCTGCATTTGTTGCAAATGTCTTTTCTGACCATGTTCCCTGTTTAGCCGAACCCAATTGGTGGGCAGGGAGGCAATGGGGCTCTTGAGTCTTGTGCGGTTCTCGTCAACAACCTCCTCCGACTGAAACATGGGCGAGGAGGCAGCCTGTCAAGCCTTACAGATGCAGAGATTGAGGGAATTTTTCAAGAAACGCAATCCACTAGACACAAACGCGCCAAAGACATTGTCTACCAAGCACACGTCAGGCAGTCATTCTTTGCCAAAGAGAACCCGCTTCTCACCGATTTTATCAACAACTTTGTGTCGCCTCTGGCCGGCTCTGACGCGGTTCTTGCCATGTTGACTGATGTCTTCCAACCCGGTGCGAGAATAGATAAGCTTCCTATACCTCACAGACCACGGCTGGTTCCATATGAGGACGAGCTCCCCGCGAAAATCATTGACGACTCGGTCCACAAACTGGTGCGCGGAGCGGTTGTGGGTGGCATGGGAGCCACGCTGTTCCTCGCGGCTAAATCAATGCGTCTCCCATTCAATCAAGTTGCCGAGTGGAGTGCACAAAACATGAGCCTCAAGTGGTTTGGCAACAACGCTGCTTCGAGATTTTTCGAGCTGGTAACCTCTGTCCTGGCAGTGCCGCTTCAGGATCCTTCAACTAGGATACATATTACTCATTTCCTCCCACAGCTGATCTCACCTATCCTCATATATACCATCGAGGGGTATCGAAAGGGACAGCGGGCCAGCCCCCTAGCCCTACCCTCGCTTTTCAATGCGGGAATGCAGGTCCAAGGGATTGCGCGAGTAGCCCCTTTTCACACCATTTTGAGCGCATTCTTCTGGAGCGAAGGACCTGTCGAACGCACTATTCCGCCCGAGGTGGCACAGTCACTCGTTCCTGCGGTAACCCTCGGTTTTGTCATTCCAACAGTTATGGCGCTCCTGCCGACGCCGAACCAGACAGCCGGAAATCATTGGCTTGGACTGTGGCAATTTGCGCCACCGCTTGTCAATGTCTTCACATATCTGATCTCAAAAGGCCTGAAGAAATGGAATGAGACTCGTGATAGGGCCGAGAAGAGGGACGAGTTGGACGCCGACCCAGCTCAAGATCTCACCACACTGAAATCGGTCTACACGTACGCATTCGCTGTCCAAGCGACCGCCCAAATCGCCACTCTCGCATACGGCTCGACCTACCCGGGGTTGAGTCTGGCAAAAGCGTTCTTCAATCTTCCTAACCCTTTCTCTGCCGATTGGAAACTTCCGAGCTTGAGTGCTGAGTTGGCGACCTTTTTTAGGTATGACATGGTGCTGGGAGTTACGGGATATATGGGCAGCAACTTGCTCTCAATTTGGAACCTACGTCGCCAAGGATTCATCAAGACGCACGAGGCCGTCAAAGCAGCGCTTTCCGTGGTAGTAGGGCAATTTCTTGTCGGTCCTGGAGCAACGTGGGCTGGCTTGTGGTACTGGCGGGAGGACAAGATTGCTGGAATCGCCAAGGCAAGCGGTGTCAGCTAGTTTTATGTTCATACACAGCGCAGCACCCTTCTCATTCATATAGATCTTATAGAATATAATTGAACTATATATATTTTACAAATTCCATTACGTCAAACTTGATTCATATTTGCTTGGCAAATATTTCGCACTTGCTGTCTCGGAGACTGACGAATTCGGCGTTTTCCCCCTCAAAGCCTCTGACCAAGATGATGGCCATCACGAGTCTCGGATAACTGGCCCCTAAGCATGCGATACGTATATGTTTACACCGATTGAGAGGTTGTTCAACGAGCTTATATAGTTTGTTGGACTGGGCATCCACCCCTCTTTTTAGACATATCAATAAGTTGTTCAACAACTGGACCATTTCCACACAAGCTATGGAGTCTAATAAAGAAGTCTTAAGAAAGATCTAAGCGACTGGATTGCTTAGGAGTAGGCCTGACGAAGCCATGTAGATCGACTGTATGATTTACTCAAAGGGCTGCTGATAAGCAAAACCAAATCAGGGATTTGGATCGCTCATAGATCATAAATGGCTCAATTGTTCCTGGTTAATAGGCAACTTATCCGGTTTACTCACCGGCCTGACCAGTCTTGATGTAACGTTACTGACAAGTCCCGCTATGGATATGACTACGAGCAGTTATGGCGGGCCTTAAATTGTATGTCAGAACCTTTTCTCTCCTTCAAATAAGACTTGCAGGGTATTCTTCTTGGTCTCAAGTCGTACCTATACATCACTACCACACCTCTATTATCTTTGGATTTTGAAGTAAGTTAACTGAGTAGTGGAATGAACGCCATGGAGTTAGCCGCATTATTGGTTTTCTTTGGCCTATTAAGATGCCGGGCATTCGCGCAGTCCCCGACACCAAATGAAATTTGGCAAGTTACACCGGCGATTGATCCCGCTGACAAACTGCTGGCCGGCTGGGACGAAATCTCGGTGGTAAAAGAGACCCAAGTCTACAATGGCGTGCAAGAGAATCGCACCTATGCGCACCACTCCGAACTATTCCACCTCAACAATGTCATTTATTTGGCGTTCTCTTCTGCGCCAGTGGATGAAGACTCAATGGGGCAAGATGCCCGGATCTCAGTCTCACATGACGGCGGACTCAGCTGGAGTCATCCTCACACCGTGGTACAAGCTGCCATGCTGCCGAATCAGACAGACCCTCACAACTTCACATACTGGTGCAATCTTGGGATTGTTCAACGAGTTTGGCAGCCAGTCTCTTTTGTGCATCTTGTAGAGGAAGATGCGCTGTACTCCATTGTTCTATCGGCAAGCGTTGGTTGTCCAGGAAACTTTCAATCGGCTGGGAAGGTCGCACAGCGGATCAACAAAGGGGACGGACGACCTGATGGGCATCCATGCTGGCTGGAAAAGAATGAATACACTGAAGCGCAACTTTATAACGAGACCATATTCGGTACTGAATACGGTATGGCGAATTGTGAGAATGCGGACTCTTTGAACGCAATCTTATCTGAACCTCAAAAAGTTCCAGCCTGGTCTTCTTGGCTTTACAATCACAAACTCTATGGTGCGGATAATATCCACGATCTTCAAGAGCAAACACATGCTGTGTGGTTGAAAAATGAGAATTCAACGAGTGGCGGCTACTGGCAGCGTTTCTGGCGAGACATTTCCGCCAAGAATAACTCACTAGCTGTTTGGGTTGAGTACACTCATGACGAAGACGGTGCGGACTGGTACCCAAAGGTCCTAAACCAATTTGGCAACCAGATTTTTGAAACCAATATCCCGGACGCCAAAACAAAGCAGCACCTCGGGGTCTTGGAAAATGGGGATCGATTCCTCGTCTCAAATCCTCGATATGACGCAAATCTTGACCGCCAACCCCTCACAATCGCTACCTCGCGCGGACAAGATCATTCGTACAAGCATATTGGAGTATTGCGCACGAATGCAAGTACTAATATTGCTCCTGAGACGCGAGACCAATACAAGAATCATGGATTTCATTATCCAAGCGCTATACAGATTAGGGATCGGTTAGTTGTCTCGTATAGCGAGAACAAGGAAAATATCTGGGTTAGTGTGATTGAGTTGGGAGACCTACCCTGATGTTAAATCATCCTGGAAAACGCGATATACAGAACATGATCAACCAATTCATTGACATGATCTAAGTGTATCTTTCTTAGCACACCTCTCCCTCAGAGTCAATATCTTGATCATGCCAAGAACATCTATCAACCCCTCCCGTCTATATTAGAGTGAGATTTCCCCAGCCGGTGATAGACCCGTGGCATCAATGAGGAGGTACACAGATGCATACATCCCTTCCATCCATACGGCAGTATATGTGGTAACGGTCTACTTTGCGGCTCCTAAATTTATGTTTCGACAGGGATATAGCTATATTTCACAACATCAAGCAAATGATTAGAAGCAAAAGATTAAATAATGATTAGGTTAAGATCCATCTGTTCGACTGACCTGACGGGATAGATAGTTGGCGATGAGTGGATGGGTCCAGCTAATCGAGAACCACTTATCGATCAATGATAAGCGATATCCACAGAAACCCAAGCTGCTCCTTCCAAGGCAGCAGAAAGCAACAGTAAACACCTCGAGGTTGACCACGAATTTTGTGACACTAGCCCAACATAGCAGAGGAATCAGCATCCGCTCCTGCGCCACCTACTCCTCCCTCCCAACCGATCTACGATGCGGTCACAGACGCCGCCTCCGGGGCAGCTCCTACTACCAATCAAGTACCACAGGAATCGGCGAGACATACGCATTCTTGTTCCTATATTTCTAAGGACAAGACTAATTATATCAGAACTACTTGGCCGCTGCGCAGTTATGCAAAATATTCCCATGATTAATGCCGGCTACAATATAGCGCTGATCCAATGGGCTTCGTCTCCGAATCTTAGTGGAAACAAAATGAGGTTATCGTAAGTTTCACCCTGGTTGCCCTTATTATCCAAATAAGCCAATTAGTAAATAGAAAATGCAAGCTGAGATAGTCGTGAGTGGTTCTTGCAAAAAATCCTATTTTCTGACTTATTTTAACAACTTGCCTATTAGAAACTCCTCGATAGCGCTGTTGTATTTTGTACTGTCCCGACTATTGTCCTATATGTGTGACTAATGTTAATATTCAAGGAGCTTCAGAAGAGGCCAATGTATGCCAAGTTTGCTTATACTTCGAAATCTATCAAGGCTAATTTGATGCATCTAAAGGACGCAGAGAAGGAAGAGGGCATGGGTTTCCCTTCGGCCGTGTGACTATGTTGGCGGGTAAAGCGGATGACATTGAAATTGAGACACTCAAGCATTATACTGCCTACCTATTTTAGAGTCTACGTTTATAATTGTCTGATTATTGAGTGCTAATAACACATGTATAAGATTCAGTACACAAATTATTATTATTTTATATTGGTTTACACTACCGAAGTATGCTAATTATCGTAGAGAGTGGTCACCCTTCAATTTACAGTCTCATTTCGTCTGCCACCCAGTTGCGGGGTTGCTAACTTCCCATCCTATAGAATGGTAAAATTTCCATCATGTTAAGTCCCCTGAAGTTTGGATTTTCCTCGAATAATACTAACTTCATTTCTAGGGGGAGTTGAGCAGCGTGTAAGTTCCTTGTCAGACCTACTTCGCGGAATTAACACCCCTTGGGTATGGAGTGATACAGTTGGAGAAGTCACTATAAGTGTGATAACATAGAAGAGATCATATACGGGAGTATCTCCTTGATAATATGCCACTGCCATAGTGGAAAACAGCATGAAGGAATCTCTAGATCGACAATGGTTTCAATATAGTCGGTCTCATCTAGGCTGCAATCTCACGATCCGTTCTCCCATTCTCACTCAAGCATCTACGTTCCCATGGTTCACTTTCCATTTAGTTCCGTGGCGTAATTCCTTAGATTGCCGGCCGATATATTTCTTGAATAGGTATAAGATAATGAAAGCAGGACCACCTTTTCCTCGAAAGATCAAGTCTCAATAGTGTCAACTCTCCCCATCTTTGCAAGACGTAGAAACGAGCTCACCCGATGATAAAGCCTAATAGCCCAACTAACAAAGAAGGTGCAGTCACGAATCTTAAAGGGCTAATGACTAGGGAAACATCGACCACAGGGGGGAGGTTCTCTATCAGCATCGGAGCTTTTGCTCGCTCGCCCCACCCCCAGAACCGACATAATAAGGTAGCAGATAATGTCACTTCCCGTTCAACCTTGGATCAAATGCTTTACACTAGGGAGAGACTAATACAAAGCATGGCACACATAGAATCTCCAGTGTTGAATTTCAACACAATTAAGACAATTGACCTAATGATAAACACAATATTAAACTAAATACTATCGAATAATTCGTTATTTTCTTATTGTTGTGTTTAGTATTATTAATTAATAAGAAAACTAGCTCCCTACCTTATGTTAAAACGGCTTTTGTGTGCTATGTTTTGTTTTCGCCACTTGCCTGGTTACGAGCTGTGTCGCTGGAGGGGGTTATCCCCTTTGACCCCTAATTCGTTTGCTACCGTAATGGGAAATGATCATGGCTTGGCATTCAGGTCAACAAAGTCACTATCGTCGTTTATTCGTCAGGTAGATGCGTCAACTCCTATGTCCAGACTTCCCTCACCGTCTGTCTCGGCTAGATCATCTCGCCTTGAATCGTTTGAACCGTCCTTCTCTTGTACTGTAGAAACACCATCCTCGCGCCAATAATAGAAAGCAGCCTCCTCCTTTCCTGGGATACCAGCAAACCAGTCCCAGATACACTCAGGAAGCGGGATAGTGCCAGGTCGTAGATAGCTGCGTGAATCAATGCTGCGGCCAGCAATATCAAGCTTGTCCACCAATAAGTCAAGTCGGTGTTGGTAATCCTGTGTGACTGGGTCATTTCTTCCGTGGAAGACAAGGGCCCAAGGACTTTCAAGAGTCTTTCTCTCCCGAAAGGTCCATGGAACTGAAATATAATTCAGTACAGTCGGTGTAAACATTGGCCATGTAACGTCGCGAATTGCCCAGATATCGTATTGGGTAACCATTATAAAACTTATCTGACGGTCCCTCTCTAAACGGCCTTGGAAGCGGCAATATTCTTGGTAAAGCTTCTGCTTTCTTTCACCCCGATAGGCAGTAGCCTCTACACATCCCCGGGAGAAATGGTGAGCAGTATAGACTTGAAAGGGCTCCTTTGGTTTCAAAATAGCCTCGATAATTTCCACGGTATTCAACGGCGCTTCGATCATCCAGGGTATCTTGTCGGCAATGCCGGCACCGAGGTAGTTGGTGTTGGGAATTTGTTCCTGTATCGTGTCTGGGTTTTCAAAAATGCCTGTATACCGGCTGTACGCCCACGCAACCTGGTCGAGGCGCCGTAAGGGGAGGCCAACGGCCTCAGGATCATCCATACTACGCCTGTCGACTATTGGATTGGGTCTTGAAGGGGGAGTTTGCTGGCGAAAAGGCTGGTCATGGGGTAAGGTAGAAATGTGAAGAAAGGCCGTGAGAAAATGGGAGGCTAGGTGATTGATGGGAGGAGCCTTTTAAAGAAGGAATTTGATTCCTTACAGCAGGTAAAGTATCTCCTAGTCCTACTACTACTCCTTAGTCAGGGGGTAGCCGAGCACTACTCCCATGAAAGAAACTCTTTCCAGAGTACGTGCCGCTACCGGGTGACAGCTCAAGCCACATCAACTTTATCTAGTGAAGATAAGTCGAAAATCCCAAGCGCTTTCAGTATGTGAGAGTGCTATGCAGTGGAGATTATGCAGAAAAAAAGGGAAATATCTGAACACCAAGAAGTCGACAAATTCATGCCATATAACTAAGGTCAACCCATCACAGCCAGCCCTTTTGCCGGTCAAGAGTTTGGCGCCTGGCCGTACATAAGGTTCAACGCCAACAATGGCTTGTGTCCAGTACAATGACTCTTTGGTTGGTGTGACTCCTTTCATGAACCTTAAAAATCTGCTTCCCTCCGATTTGAAAGCCGCCCTCCAGCGTATGTAGTCATAAGTGAAAAACATTGCTCAGGTCCACTCCATATTTGGGAAACGTCCAACATCTCCTCCCCACATCGTAGCCTTCGTAATCTCCACAAGCCAAGTTTCGATCAATCGACCGAGCCTGTGCTTGTCATCAGATCTCACTCTATCGACGCAATTACAAGCTCAACCCTTTCAGTTTCCGAGATATGCATGGCTGGTTTATTTGAAGATTCAAGTCACTTTTTAATTACATACAGTGATGGCTGTAGGGTAGGTCTACTGTTTAAAAATATGGGTACCTCTAATAGAAGTCACTTTCTTTCCTTTGTGCGCGTCATTGGCCAAATTGCTAGTCGCTGACCCCCTGAAGGGATCCGAAGACTTGAATCCCCCCAAGTAGTTTGAGGTTAATGTAGCTCATCACGCAACCCTCCTTGAATAGGCTGCGATGGCCTCATCCTTCAAATACACATCTCTCCAGCTCACGGAGATTAGACTACTAGTCCTCCATCCAGGCCAAGACCAGGACGTCTTATGCGGCTCCATTGCCGTCGCACAGCATAATCCTGAACAAGGCAACGTCCCGCAATATGAAGCCATCTCGTACGCGTGGGGTGATCAGACAAGTCCGGATCACATAACTCTACGTGCTTTGCCAAACGCCGAGTCAACTGTGATCGACTCGAATGATGGTAATGCCACAGAGGCTGAGTCCTCGCTTTCCATTGGACAAAATCTTGGCGCTGTCTTGCGACACCTTCGCCACGAGGCAGACACGCGGATTCTCTGGTGCGATTCTATATGCATCAACCAGCAAGACTTTGACGAGAGAGCCGCACAGGTCCGCCGCATGGGCGAGATCTTCAAGCATGCGCAGCGCGTCATCGCCTGGTTAGGTCTGCCGGACGACCACAGCCACCTGGCCATCCAGACCTTGCAACAATGTGCCGACTACATTGACTTCTCAAACGAGGAGGAGGCCATGCTGGCCAACAAGATAAACTTGAAACGAGAGGCAGCTGCACTGGTCACAGACATGGAAACGAACCTGCCATTGTCGCCTCAGCAGTGGACATCACTAGAGGCCCTGCTCTCCAGAAGCTGGTTTCGACGGCTGTGGGTGCGTCAAGAGATCCTGCTGGCGAACAAGGAAACCGTCGCCATGGTTGGCAAAGACAGCATTCCGTTTCTGCACTTTTCCGGTGCGATAGATTTGATCTCTATAAAGAGGATGACGTTGGAGGCCATCAGACCTCTTCATTTATCGGTCCACTTCTTCAATATGCGCACCTTCTCCTTCCTGAGGCACTTGAGAGACCTTTTCACCCTGATAGCTTTTACGCACAACTGCGAGGTGACGAATGAGAGGGATCGCATCTATGGCTTACTCGGACTTGCGGAAGGACCTTTTGTTAGCAAAATTTCCATTGATTACAAAAAGGGAGTCAAAGAAGTATATCGTGATGCCCTCATCGACGCCACTGAATGGCATTCAGACCTCAAGCTACTGTCATTCTGCGACTCGGCGTCTGAACCGACGTGGATCCCGGATTTCCATCGAATACAAGGACTGCGCCCCATAACTCACGCCCGGGCAGCCCTGGCCTCAGACGTGGAAGGCAAGGTCCTCGATTTTGCACACATCTGGTTGCAAGGAATCAGGTGCGACAGTATTGCCGAGCTGTTGGGGCCTCCTGACGGCGAGGATCGCCCAAACGAACAGCTCCGTGCTGCCATTGTGAGGGGTGCCATTCGCTTCTTGGGCCCAGATCCAGATTTGTGGACGCAAGATGAGGTCAAGAAGTTTTGCCTCGGGATACTCGTCAACGACTTCCATCTCTATCCTCCCCAAATAGATGGGCTAAAGAGCTATTTGGCATCGTTGGTCCGTTCAGAGGATACGGTCCCAGAGGCGCACTTCCTTCAGTTCATCTACTACCTCACGGGACGCTCTCTATATTTCACAAGAATGGGGTACGTCATACTAGGACCGCGCGGCTGCCGAATCGGTGATGTCGTCTGCGTCTTTCTCGGCAGCCCCCTCCCTACTGTGCTCCGTCCAATGGAAAATGGTGAATATCAGGTCAGAGGGCCGGCATCTCACCCTGCCCTCTTGAATGGTGAAGCGCTCCTTGGCCCGCTTGCCGAGGGTTGGCGGATACGGTACACGACTCGTGCTCTAGACCCTGTCTTTGAGTGTCCGCATGGGAAACACTACCGTATCGATCCGCGATTGAATGATGTCCCTATTCCCGAGGGGAAGGAACTTCGTTGGAGGGATAACGGCACCCCTTTTTGGTATACGGCTGAGATAGATCGGTGGTCCAATTTCGACCCACGAGTCTCAATGGAGGAGTTGACAAATAGAGGAGTCAAGGTAGAGAAATTTACTTTATCATGAGAAACTGTTCATCATAGTGGGGGTTTAATCATGTTTAAGAATCTAGAAGTACCTTGTTAGCTTGGCTTCTATAGACTCTTTCCTCGTCTTTAGTCTCTTGTGAGGCAAAAAGGGAGGGCAAAAAAACATAGAACAGCGGGTATTGATGCACCTTCTTACAAACGTGACGTCCACGTAGATTTCCCAATCCAAGTGCTTCGAGGTATGAATACCCAGTATCCTAGGTAGAAGTGTAGATGGCTTATTAAGGTTCTTCAGTCGACATATACGTTACCATATGAAATCAATTCCGCGCGAGAAATGGCCAGCTGGCTTCGGTGCATAGAAAGACACGAGGGATCCCTGAGCCGGTGCGGGGTGTTGTTCCCAGCTGGCACTGTAACAAGTATTCTGGCGACATCTACAACGCTGATCCCACCACCGCCTCGAGCGATTTAAATAACGCCGGTTGATGATATTGGTCATGGCTTTCTGGAATGTGTTGTTTTTATGATTTTGTTCTGTTCATTGCATTTCTGGGGACAGTGTACTTGTTATCATGATTACCATTGCTAGCGTGCTGAAATGCTTGAATTTGGTCTGCAATACTGCGGACAGATAGCAAATCTGTGTTGCTTTGTATCTAGCCGACCATCCAGTCAGTCGGCCTTTCAATTGACAGGCGCGATATTCTCTGTATCTTGCCTGCTTTCCATCTATACCTAAAGTGGTGAAAATGCCATCTCTGGCGGGCGTGGAGATTCATGCGGTCTAGTTTCTTGGGCCCAAGATACGCGAAGGAGTTGGCCGAAGCTGAATATTGGACGCATCTCGATATCACGGCACAGGGCCAATCGCCTTTCAGCACACACGCACCAGGGGGATTCTAATTCGGGGCTCTGGCGAACTACGCCGTAGTTGGTCGTAATCCGGTTGATCCGAGGCTGGCTTGGCATGAATATTGGCTCATTCGTCACGGAGGATTGATTCCAGCTCCCCGGGCTGGGGTAGCCAAAATCACAGCTGCGATCGATAGTGTCCGCTGGATTTTAGAAGAGGATCGGGACCGGAAGTAGGGTCACCCGCCTGTCAAGCTGTTGGCGCCCTTTAGCCTCTCTCGTTTCTTCACCGGCTCTAGACAGGCTTGGCGGAGACGCTATGGAAGTGGCTGGATGGGGTCGTGACCAGGGGATAATCACACCAAGAGTCTTGGAGATTGGTGGCAGATGGGTGCCATGGAGAGGCCCTGACTGGATCAGGCATCATCAGTGGGATTAACTTCGATCCAAGTGGACACTAGTCGACTGGCTGACATCTGCTCCGTTGACAAGCTGAGATGGAGCTTCTCCACGGCAAAGGCATTCCCAACTTGGATTCTCGTAATGCCGAAGAAGTCAATCAATCGGAGAAGCGTGAAGAACCATGAACCATGGGAGGTCCATCACGGTGGCGAGTGTGATCCAGACCGAGGCACTGACGAGGATATCCCCGGTACCATCACTGTGGCACGGCCAATAGTTTGTTCTCTTATGCAAGCCCGCCCTGCGCATTCCTAGTGAGCGTTAGCCTTGGCATGGGCTCGGCGGAGGATCGCCCAAGAATCGAGTAAAGGCCCGAGTTTTCCCAAGTTCGTCCACCACGAGATCTGGCGAATGAGATCCCCCACCCACAACCCCATGTCAATATTGAATTCCCATGGCGTCGTCAGCTGGGCTGGTGGAAATTGGACAGCATTCCTGCCTCTCTCAGGCGGATACTACCTTCACAATCTAGCCTAGTGCCGTCCAGGCTCCTGGGACGCCCTCGCTACTGCATGTCGATATGCATCCCCAACCGCAAGACGATGATCAGGAGTATCTCAAACGGTCAATATTCACACTAGGCATCAAGGGGCTGCTCGGGAATCGGCTCGAGATGACCACTTCATGCGCCGCGGCCCCGGGTTTCGCTTCCGTAGCATCGAGGGACGATAATTCCGGGGAGTTTCAGCGTCGTTGAAGATGCGAAATTCACTAACCCTGACTGGCTGGGAAGCACCTTGCATTAGGGCAGCCTGGGGGTAAGCGGGCTGATGACCAGTCAGTCAATTTGGTGGCTGCAGCTTCACACATCCCCAATAATAGTCCTACTATTATGCCGCCCGCTCTCAGGCGTATCCTAGACCGACCTCTCCCGGGTCCTTTCGGACTGGGATGGGGCTAGTTTGGGATGCAGAGCACAGATACGGGGAGGGCTGGGTTAGGTAGGTAGGTATAAGTAGGATACAGATCCTTGGGTCTGTCCCCGTCGTACGGTTCTAGGACAGTGAGTATTCCTGGCAGGTCGTGGGATCTGTGTTTGCTTTTTTTGTATTTACTAAGATCGATCACATCCGCCCACTGCAACGTGACACGTCAAGATGAGCTACGAACCGGAACACATCGACCGCAAGTCGCTCTACACAAACCTAGAAGCCCGAATCGATTACCTCCATCGCTTCCTCGACTTCAGTGAGAGTATGAGTCCCTCACATCCATGACTTTGCAATAGAAGCAGGAGAAAAACTGACTGATGACGACATTCTCAGACGACATTGAGGCTCTGGCCTTCGGGTCGAAATTCGTGCAGGACATCATCCCCGCTGTCGTCCACATTGTGTACCAGAAGCTCCTCCAGTTTGACATTACTGCCCGTGCATTCGAGACTCGCGACACACGATCGGAAGAGCCCTTGAAAAACGGCATCGATGTGGACAGTGCTGTGGTACAGGAGCGCAAGATGTTCCTCAACGCCTACCTCAAGAAGATGTGCTCCGACCAGTCCCAGATGGAATTCTGGGAATACCTGGATCAGGTTGGGTAAGAAGCATCAACCCTCCCCTTCACTACGCAGCTGCTAATCCCATCCATAGTGCCATGCATGTTGGCCTCCACAAGCAACGACCCCTCCGAATCGAGTACATTCACATCAGCGCGACCCTGTGTGTGATACAGCATGTTCTCACAGAAGCCATTCTGTCACACAACGCCCTGCCCATGTCCCGGCGCACCGCCATGGTCGTTGCCATCAGCAAGGTCATCTGGATCCAGAACGATCTCTTCGCCAAGTGGTGCGTCCGCGACGGCGAGGAGTTCAACGCCGAGGGCGAGACCACGCAGCCCGCCCCGTCCATGTCGCATATTTCGCCTCCCAAGGGCACGACGGCCGACGGGCAGAAGGCGGGCACATGCCCGTTCAGTGGCATGACGCAGGCGATGCAAGGGCTCAGCACAGGGCCTCCTGCGCATTGAGTAGGATTGGTTTCGGGACATACATGATTTATGAGGTAGTGCTCTGGGTAGCATCTGGATCCAAGGTAGTAATAAGTGAGGCGTTTGGGATTAATTTGAAACAGACAAATACAGAATGAATTGTTCTTTTCATGCATGGCGTGCCTTCGACCGTGCAAGCGAATAGTTGCCGTACTGCAACCACCTATCATCTCGTCCCTCTGCATGTAGGCCATCTCACCGTGCATGTGCCCCCTCAAGCGATCGACAATGGCTGTCTCGGCTCAGCTCAAGACCCCCGTGGTGATGACAGAGTGGACATCATAATATGGAGCAAATATTGTCAAATATTGGCCTCAACGGGGCGATGTGGCGTCGCTTATCGAGAGATGCATCAACCCTTGACCTTTACCAGAATGCCAAACCAAAACCCCGCCAAGTTGCTTGAGTCAGGAGCCAGCACGCTCATCCTTGTAGCGTACCGGTCAACAAGGTGCCCCGCACCGAGTCCTACGAAACCGTAAGCTCGTTTCACACCGAGGATTAGCTTGCGATGGGGCCAGCTATTCAACGGTAAGCAAGGACTGTATGGGCCCGGGATGCGAGTCATTCATCTGCATGTCAACACACACTGGCCCACCTACAAACAAGCCTGCCAAGTCCTCGGCGGTTGGGAGGGGTATCTCATAAAAGGCACCTGGTGTTGGACCAGTGAAGGAGCACTCTTTTGAAGCTAGGTCACCTCGGTGAACGGTCTTGGTTGCTGACGGGCTTGTCAACAACGGTCTATCCATCCCACCGCACACGTAGCCCCCTTTTTGAACCGCTCTAGGTTCATAGTATTGCTTTGATCCTTGGCTAATAGCTTAAAACAGCCACTCGCATCCCGGATATGTTCCGGAGTCTGATAAAGCCTATATTAAAGGATTCTATCATCTCCACTCACAGTTAGGACACTTTTAATCGACCATTCATATACACGGAGCAAGCTGTCTGAGCCAGGGTGCATTTTCGGAGTCTCCTTCTACAATTTTGTCTATCGAAACACTCGAGCTGCACAAAGCCTTGAGTTGTTGAGCGCCATAGACGCGCAGAATACTCGTCTACTGCTCAGATCGCGTAAACGAGGGGTTATCGCCGTTAACTGCGATCTACGTTGCCGTGCAGCTGCCATGGAACCGTGACAACGAAGATGACACAGGTGCATATTCGGACCCACCACGTATTTCATCATTTGGCGTTAGGCTGTCGATGCGTAGGATAAACGAATGTAACGCTCCAGGTCCGAAAGGGGACCCCATGACAGGAAAGGGAGTACGAGCTGCGAGACGTAGGGGGATGTGCATCTTAGTTTCACCAGAGATGCCCGAAAATATACGCGAAGGGGGGAGTTCAATGCGTATAATACTCTTTCTGGTGAAATTATACGTCATAGGAGATTTACTGTCGTGCCAGTCAGGACAGCTCATCCTATAACTGCGGGTTGCGCCAATGCCACCTTGTTTGTGTTTGAGAAGATGCATATGGTGGCCTCCCGAGTCCGCTACTGGCCGATCAATACCGATTAGCGAAGAGAAAGTCCAAAGATGGTATACCATTTTCCATATGTCGTTTCGTGCTCGGAGTATTTGCCGATGACATTTCCGTAAGTCCGCATGTCCACGCCCTCTCAGCATAAATATTAATACATTTATTAATTGTCCTCTATGGCTATTAATTTTTCTCTAATGCCGTGCTTCCATCCTTATTTCCAGAAATAAGGCTCCCCAGAAGATCGCATAAATAACGTTCTCGATATACCAAGCGTTGAAAACTGTAGCTATTGATGAATATCCGTGCACTGTCGACAACTGCTGGATGTAGCTTCGGCGGCAATTCCAGCAAGGCTGTCCTTGTAATTTCAAGTGGCCCCGGGGAGGAGGTGAAAAGGACGTCCGAAATCGTTTCGTCTCCGGCCAGGGAGATAACGAAGTCTTCAAACATGTCGTTCTGCGTGATGAAATCGAGGAGTGCAACCAAACAGTGCGGATCACTGACAATTTGATCGACACCCTTTCCAGCTTCGAGTTTCGCTTGCATTTTTGCAAGGTACTCCAATTCGAGGATGATGGTGCTCTCCTCTAGGCCCAGCGTGCGTCCGGTGAACGGCCGGTTATATGCCAACCGCTTCTTCCACCAGAAGCTACAGGCAAAGGATGAAACGATGACAGGAATAAGTATCACATAACCCATCCAAAGTGTCGGGGTCATCATTCCGCCTACACCCCCGAGCAGCGTAGTCAAGCCACTGGCAGCAGCGTAAATCTGGGTGCTGAGAAAGCGTCGGTGCAGTTGATCCAAGACGGTGTGACCCTCGAGCTTCTCTGCCGTCGCACGCTTATGTTTTTGTGCCTTTCTGAAAAGGTGGAAGCACCAGACCGAGTTGACCAGGCCGTAGAGAGCGACCGGGGCATTCCCAAGATATCCGGATAGAATATTACTTGCGATCCAAACGGAGTGATTGGCATCCCAAATAGCCATGAGAGTACCAACACCGATGATAAAGGCCCCCGCACCCATCACAACATTCATGCCAAACCGGTTGATACACTCGCTGCCGGTCTCCCGATGGAGGACATCTCGAATCGCATCTATGTCGTAGGAAGGCAGTGAATCACCCAAGCGCTGTCGCATCTCGTTTCTGAGCCGCCGCCGGTGCTCGCGTAAGAAGCATATGTTGTTCCAGCTACGCCTGGCATCAATAATAGCCGGCACAGTGAGAACAAGGGCGAGAGTTCCGCCACAAGCCATCAGGACTTTAACGTAGACCTGAACAGGTACGTTGTTCCAGACATTCGCGGCAAAGTCTGCAGCGTTGGCCAACTCCAGCAGGCCCAAAGTGCCCAGGAGGCTGTTTCTCAGTCTCGCTTTCGGGGACGGAGCGATGCGTTTTCCTTTCCTGACCAGCCTGACGGCGGTCGCGCACTCGGTGATCCTGGGTACATCGTCGCCTGATGAACGGATGCTGGGTTCCAGCCCCTGCGTCCTCGACGATCCAGATTTGGTACTCGACAGGTCGTGACGAGGCACACTCGAATGTGAACCAGCCATCGTGTCTTTCGCACAGCGAAACGTATTATTAAAAAGATGTACTGGAGAGAAAGTAGGAAATTCCCTCTCATCTTCTGTTCATTTCATTTAGCCTTTAATTTTCTGCCCCTGGGGGAATGGGGAACACGTCATCGCGAGAATGTGGACCTTGTACGCCAAGGTTTACGCCCAGTGAGCCGAGCAGCCGATCAAGATGATTGAGCTTTTTTCTCCACTTCACGAGAGCCAGAGTTCGTCGGAAATAGCTTTACGTTGTGATCGTAGAGGGAGACTTGCCGGTTCTGGCCAAGGCTGGCTGCTGTCAAAGTCAAACGGAACCCAAGCCCGGTTTCGGTGTTCATCGGCTTGCTAGTACATTCTCCAGCTCAGATCTATTCACCTATAAATAAAACTTCAGCTAGCCAGACCAAATCCCTTATTTAAACTAGCGCGATGTTTGTCGTACCTATGCCTCGATCTTTTGAACTGCCCTGTGTTGTGTAGTGATTCCTAGAGGATCGATTCGCTCGCATGACATGCCAGTGTGGCAGCACTCGAGACTGGATATCCCATGCTAGATCTTTCGACTACCTAACACGTCTGAATTGAGAGCCCATGACACATATATATAACCTCTCGTAATTGACTTTGCTCCTTTCGGGAGATATTCTCATCTTGGTGATTGCTGACATCACTCCGAGTTTCGAAAAATGAACCGATGGCACCGAATCCTAAAACCCTCCTACCATTGAAAAAAGCCGATACATAATGCGAGAAATCCCAATATATTGAGACTAATTGGTCCCAGAAAGCTCGTATAGGTAGGTATGGTAGGACAAACTGGGTCTTGATCACGAGAGCACTATTGAGAGACTAGAGCCACACGCACGAGCAGGTCAAGTTTAATCAGTTTCGAATTCTAAGCTGGGTATCTAAATTCATATATCTATCATTATCGCCGCATCTCCACATTCTCTAATATCCTCTGCCATAGTTCGTCATATGTACGGGGGCCGGTTCCAGAGGTGGATAACCAGATCCGGCAGGACCGTACGAATATTCGTCACGCCAGGGTTCGCGGCCTCGCAGTCCCTTCGAAGCGCCAATTATCAACAGCAACACGCACAAAGCTGCAAACCAGACAGTAATAACTATGCTGATATTGCTGAAGTAATCAGGAAACACAAAATAAATCCGACCGTTTGTTCGTGAGGCCACGAAGTAAAGGATGTTGAGAATTGCCGACCATGTATGCCGGATGACTGAGAGTATGCTTGATGCAAGAAGACATCCAAAAGTCTATGTCCAAGACCGTCAGTGGAACAACTCGTGGATACATAAACAGCCTATACTTACACTCCTGGGAACGGGCACCTGTGTGCGTGCCGCATAAATGAGAGTGAACACTAAAGATATGACGGAGGCCACCCAGATGAAAAATGGCACCAGCATATATGTGATGGACGAGACATCTGAGACTACCCGGAAGCCACGAGGGGAGAGATTCTCGGCATAAAGGCGAATGTGAGATACAACAAAGTATATCAAGTTGAGACTTTGCGGACTCATGAACAGGCCGAAGGATTTATTGCGATTATCAGCTGTATCCTTCTCGTATAGATCGAACGTGAGTTTGAGTTGAGCGTGCACTATGGCGCTGAAACTTAGACTGCCAATCGTAGTCGCCAACACAGGAAGCTCAGAGGCTGCGACGCTGTAGCTCTGATCCCCCCATACCGTGTTCCAAAGAACGGTGCTGCTCAAGTGTATGGCCATGTATCTGTGATAAGAATTGTTAGTCTGGTTCGCGACAGTCAAAGTGATCAAGAGCAGTCCACCTACATGGAAAAAAGTATGGCAGATATTCTGAGCCATCTCTTTGTTCTGCGGCCATGGCTGCCAAAAGCCCTCAGCTTTATTATCGATAGAAAGACATTGATGAGAGCGAAGAAGGTCCCAACAGCCGCAAAGCTGAGGAAAATGATGTTGAGAGTGTCTCCGAAAAACATGGTGGAGTTTAGCTGGTTGTGGAGAAACTGGCCATGTACACAGATCAATCACTCCTCTTTTTTTCTGGGGAATTAAGCATGTTATATGCTGCATGCCATCATTTTCAAAATGGGTTCATTGGCAAGGCGTTTATTCACTCCCCTGCCAAGGCGAGGGAGACCTGGCACAGCCACGGCGTGATCCTGGGAAATTTAGTGGCGAAGCTGCCCATTTCTACCACGACCCGTCCCCAAGCCAATCAACAGGGCTGCCAAGAGTTCTGGTAAAGTGGACGGCGAATTGCCAGGGCAAACCAGGGCAACAGACGCAGGGTTTATGGTGCGCCCCGAAGTTGCGGGCTCATTCATTGTTGGAAATAAGACCTCAGCTTCCTAATTACAACCCAACTGGCCCTCTCGTGACTCTCTTGTGTCACCTGATTAGACAGAAGCCCTGAAACCCCCGGTTGCGGCCGTCTTAAGCCATGCTGTAATCAGTCTTGAATGTAGCATCCTAGCATGAATTGATCCTCCGTCAAAATTAGGAAGAAAGCCGTTTTGAGCATAAGAACGAAGTAGTCTAAAACTGTCTGTAAGTGTATACAAGGCCATGTTCCCTCCAAGAATCGCCTTCAATCACAAAGTTCAGCTCAACAAACAGGGTAAGTAATTCAGAAATTTGAAAGCTACCGAAGACTCAATCGCTCTTCGAGAAACAGAGGAATTAGGTCCTATGAATCTAAAATTAAAGATGTTGACTAACAATGGAGAAAGAATTCACATGTACCAACCATCATCAACTATAATGCTTCTCATCGCTTAAATGATACGTTTCAAACACTAAAGTCGTAACTTGCACAGGTACTTGGATACTGGAGTTACACTTTGTAACTCTCTTTGGCTGTTCCGGCAAAAATCGCTTCAATGTCGCTGGCATCCAGATCAAGTTTAGCACACATGGCCTCAACAATGCTCTTCCAATGCGCCCAAGCATTTTCGACTCCAATGGTGCAGACGGGCCAGTCGCTTGCAAACATGATTCTTTGTGGACCAAACGCTTGAATGATTACCCTGAACCATGGAAGCAGAAACTCGGCAACGGCGGGCGGGCTGAGGAGTCTTGTCGACTCCGACATTTCGGATAAAGCACCAGAGAGCTTCATGTATACACGTGGAAACGTGCCAAGTACAGCAACAGCAGCCGCCCAAACTCGGAACTCATCGTTTGATTCGTCGAACGGGGCTGTCAAGCTGGGCTTGAGCATATGATCTATAGAATTGTCAATATCAAAGGGTAGAGGAGGTTAGTGCGAGACCTACTAAGCACAACTATGACCTTCTCGTCGTGACGAGCAACATCTGCATGAGCCCGCTTAATTAGTTCAACAATGTCATCGAGCTGACTCTTCCCTTTCTGGTGATAGTCAATACAAAGCTCGAAGATAAACCCCCGCCGCCCCAACAATTTCAGGCTTTCAATAAAATCCCGCTCTAGTGCCGTACCAGCAGCTTTGTCTTGCAAAAGATAACGAAATCCTTTGACCTTAGGCCAAGCAGGGCCTGCAACCTGCTTGGCTCTATCGAGGTACGTCTCCAGCGCGGCAGGGCCATTTGGAAGCGGTGCCCAAGGAACAAGACCCAGCACAAGCCGCGAATCCTCGGTAGTGTGACCTTCACCAGCTTTTGGCTCGCCTAGGGCCATGCGCCGATACCACGAAACCTCCTTCAACGGGCCTTCCCATCCCTCTTCGCCGGCATGGAGATCGAATTTGCGATCGTTCTCGACGACCACAAAGCCGGAGACTGATGGCGAGGATTTGCTGGCGTTTCGGAAGTCCTGCACAGAGTGTTGTCCGTCAAGTGGATGACCGGCTTCCAACCAAGATATTGAATCAATCTCGGATTCGGGGTAGAGATGTATGTGTGAATCGATTACAGGAATCCCTAAATGCTTATTCATCATCATGAGCTTCGAAAGTTCGGTTGATTGTTGAGGTGATGGTGACAGTCTCTCTCCGGGATCACCCCTTGATTCACTAGCTGAAACTGTTTTAATTCACGATATTTAATCTATGGATGTGAGAGACGATGTGGCATCGCATGTTGAGGGGCAGGTCTTGAATTGAATACACCCGACGGGAAAATAAATTGACCCGTTGTGGCGCGGTTTCTGTCACGATGGTTTCAATAAATCCCAATTGGTGGGTGAATTAGTTGTATTAATCCCGCTAATGAGTGGGACACGGCCCGATGGTGGGCTGGATTCACTGAGGAAGAGTCCGCGGTGCAAGATATAACCGGCGTGGAAACACGCATCGGAAAAAAGGAGATGCAGCAGCCACCCGGCTTTATTAGGGAGGGGATCGTATGATACCACTGAAGCCCTTTTCATTCTAGGTAGAGCTTAATTTTCTTATTAATAATACTAAACATAATAACAAGAAAATAATAAATCGTTCTATGATATTAAGCTTGATATTGTGTTTATTGCTAGGTTGATTGTTTTGATTGTATTGAAATTCGCTGGAGGTTCTGGGTGTCCCATGAATTGCGCCATAGATTAGGATCGGCGATCACGAACATGTCAGATTATGAATCAAATGCCTAGCTAGGCTAGGTCATCGCCGTATTTGGCCTATTATGATTGATATGGAGATCTATATCTGGGCAGTGTATTTAACTCATCTGAATAGTTGCCTACCATGGCAATATCCTCCACGTTTATATAACTCAGCACCTGAGAAGAATAGCCGAATAATCTAATCGTATTAAAGTCCCATTTATTGAATCCCGTAAGCCTTCTTTGCTTCGTGTAAATCAAACCATAGCCAGAAGACGTCCCAGGCCCAGGTTCCTCCGATGGCTTTGAAGGTCCGGATGCTCCCCTCGTTGCTTTCCAAGACGCCACAAAAAGCCAAGGGGTGAGAGCCCTCGTGCTCTTCTTGAACGTTTCCAGTGGCAGCGAATGGGCCGGTCCTTGCAGGCGAACAAAACCCTAGGCTGATGATTCGTTGTACCACGGCCTTTGCGAGCCCCATTCGCCTGAAATCAGGATCAACATGCAGGGTGCGAACTGATCCGTCCTCGCCTGCGAAACCAAATGCCACGAGTCTCGACGGCCCTTCTGCACTTGACGCATTCTCTTGTTTAATTGCCACTCCTTTAAGTCTATCAAGCGTTGAGGTGCTTCGAATGAGCTGGTTCTGTGCCATGACTTCGGCATAATCCGATTGTCTGATTAGTTCCCATCGAAACCCAGGAGGCAGATCTGATACTTCTCCAGAATCATGAATGTCGGTTCCCGTTCGAAACAGATATTTGCCGTATGGAGGGCTACTCTTTAGAATTACTGATGTTTGGGCAAGGAGCGAAGCAACTCTCGTGTGAACATTGCCAGCTTTAATGCAAGGACTATATGGATTCTCTCCTTGCTCTAAGAGCGTCATTTCTTCATTCCTGGACTTAGTTGGGATTTCGGAGAGTATGGCGATGAGTTGGCGAGTTGCGAACTGGCAAACGTCTAATGGAAAAGGCACAAACAGCTTCCCTGGCTCTATATTGGGTTTCTGCGATGCTTGCTCATAGCCGTCTATAAGCGGCCACATTTCCAGAGACGAGAACGTCCACATTTCGGTTCCTGGATGATTGGCTCGATTCACGTAGGCCATTGTCCATACAGACTCGATGCCCATATCCTCGGGGACCTCCTCCTTGGGCTCTCGTGTAGACAAAGGAGGGAGGGGTGTGGTGATCAGAAAGGCGCCTTCATCCTTCGGAGCGAGTTGCACTGCTCTTAATATCGGCAAAGATTGAGGAATTCGTGAAGTGAGAAAATCGATGACGTGCCCAAACGGCCATGCGTCAGTTTCCCCCGATGATGCTCGGTTGAGGTGACCGCCATCTGACTTGATATCATAGATATGGAGTGGAATGGTAGACATTATTGGCAAAGCAGATGCGACGTTTTTGTAAGAGAGTTCTGCGAACAAAATCTATGCGTGAATTGCGCGGAGTCTTGCAGTTCATGTGCCCCATTCATTAATGCACCCAAATCCAACATTGATGACCAATCAAGGTAAGCAACTCAATGTAGCACATTCAAAAGACAGCAATACTCTTCCATCATTAATGTCCGGTTCGGTATAATCCACGGCCGCCGCCACCAACACCTACTCGCTCTGAGATGTCGCACATCAATCCTCTAGATTGAATCTAGCAAATAATAGCACACCCGTAGGGACGGCAGTTCCGGCAGGTTCAAGGTAAATTAGGCCAAGTCTGTAATGTAGTGTAGGGGGAAACAATGCCGTTAGGAATATGCTGAGGTTCGGAGGCACGGATGCAGACAGATTTGCCTGAGAGTTTCTGTCCCGCACAAGGTGGGAGCCTCAAGGTATCCCCAGCAAACCACAACCCATGCCCTCACAACTTTCTGTCTGTAAGCTAGACTGGATATTTCATGTTAAACGAGTCATTTCATCTCGACTTATTGGCGTCTCTCCTTTGGAAACTGAACCATAGCACCTGTCCTCGTTCATGCTGACCACCTCGGCAGACGACTTAGCCGCCTTGTACTGATGCCTGGCGCCTTGCAAATCTCATCCTAGCCATTATTAGTATTATTATCACAATGCCTTGACACACATCACAGACAAGTAGCGGGGTTACTCCGCAGAAGGCGTGATCATCCATACACCTCCCATCCAGCCGTCCCCTCGAGGGATCTCCCTCCCGTCGACTTATTCTTCTCACGCCACCCGCAGCGCATCAACACTCCTCTTCGGCCACTTCAGCATATCCAGAAACATCGGCTGCCCCGCCAAACTCGCCTCAATCTCCCCCATCAGCTGCCCGCTCCACCCCCTCGGGAACCAGTACGGCTTCTCGAGCAGGGCGAGGAACACGCAGTAGTACGCCAGTACGAGCAGGCCGTGCGGCCTGCGCGCCCTCAGGTCGGCCAGCAGGCTCGGCTCGACGTGGTACGGCCAGACGAGGACGGCGCCGCACTCGTAGTGCGCGCCCGCGACGGCGATGCGCTCGACCGTCTCGATGAAGTGGACGATGGCGGAGCGGTAGTCTGGCTGGCTGGCGGCGGGGAGGTCCTGCTCGTGGAAGGACTGGAGCTTGGCGATGGCGTCGTAGGTATCGTGGGGGAGGGGGCAGTGTTCCAGGGAAGGGTGTCTAAGAGTCTAGTTAGGATACAGATCATCTCGTCGGGGGAGGAGCAGAGCAGTTCTTACCCTGGCGGAGGGCCGCTCTCCGAGCCGGGGAATACGCCGTAGACTAAGGGGGCGAACTCGGTCCTCAGCACGCCGGGGACGATTGAGTGTAGGGCGGTCCTCATGCCGCGGACGAGGCCCATGAGCTCCAGGAACCGGGAGACGGGCTCGTCGATGTGCATGTCTTCGCAGCGGATGGGGAGCGTCAAGAGATACGAGATGGCGAGGGAGGAGAAGCTGAAGATGGGGGACCAGGTGTCGCGCGTGATGTTTCCCAACGCATGCCGGAAGCCCTCTGAGCCCACCGTCTGGTGGTAGTCGGCCAGGGCGAGGTAGGTCTCTCGGCCGCTGGTGGCGAGGTACGCCTTGTGGGCGGCGGCTATGGCGAGGATGCCATGGCGGACGTAGGGGCTTTTGTAGCCCTCTCTAGGGATGGCGACTCCCCACACGTAGCGGATGTCCTGGCGGATGGAGAGCGTGTCTGCGGTGATGGTGCTGTAGTGATGCACGAGCTCGAAGGTCCGGCTGGAGATGTCGTCCAGGGGTAAAGGGGCGATGTGGCTGGCTGTTGCGTCAGGAGGGTCAAGAGCATGATGCCGAGGAGTAGAGACGCTCGACTCAAGTGTCTCTGAGGGCAACGGCGAGACAGGCAAGATGTTGGGCTGGGTGGGAATTAATTTCGATCGCTTGGGACCGCCGATGTCGATGTTGGGCGAGAGGCTGCATGTCACGCCGTGGCGCTTGCAGTTGAAGCATTCCGGCCGTCCTTCATCACACTAAAGAGTCAGGATCTGTAAGCTATGGGTTCTTCATCTCAACCATTCATGCATACAGGAGCGCGGTAAAGCAATCCGATGTGCCCCAGGTCAGGGCTCGCCAAACACCGTGGGAGAAGCGAATCCGACCGGATACTTCTGAGTTTCGCGACAAGGAGAATAAGGAGAGTCCTGGAATAACAAGAAACAGAGGCGCAGGCTGCTTACCTTGACTTTACGGCGCTTGCAATTGGTGCAGCCTGTCCGAGACTTGGTATGCGGGCGCATCGGAGGCATGACGCTTCAATTGGCTCGGACAGACCACCAGTGATAAGTGCGCGGATTCGTCAGTGCGTACGCCGCTGCGTGCGTCATATCGTGTGGCTGTAGGCGATTGATCGCTCGCAGATTAGGAAATGGAGGGCGGTGGGAGCGAGGAGAGAGCTCAGTTATCACGATGTGGGAGCGGTTTCGCTTTCTCGCATTTCGGAGCGCGGTCCGCGGATTCGCATTCGCCCGTAAGCTAAATCGAGGCTTAGCACATTGCGAACCCTGTCTTTCTATGGGCTCATCTTAGATGGAGTTGCCGAAGCCGCGATTGATCCTTGATTGGCTCAACGTGGGGAGCAAGAGGACGGGCTGAGCACTATCAAACCACTTCCTGGTAATAGCCAACTGCCAGGCCGCACACACCAGATGGCTCGGATAGCAAAGCGAGGAGCCCAAGCCGCGTTGGAGATGCCCAGACTTACAGGTAGTCTAGAATACGAGGCCGTTGAAGCGGGGGGTCTCCGCTGTCAAAAAGCCAGCCCTTCCCCGACCGTCAAATTGATCCTAGACTAACGTCTTGCATTCCTTTAACCTTCTTTATTAACGTTATTCAGTTCTTTTTGTTTTCCTTTTCTGCTGTAGTAGAACGCCGTTCTTCTCTGTATCTCTTCGTTCACCCATCTCGCCAGGATCATTCGCCAGGGGTCGTGCTATTCTTATTGCTGAGGCCATTTATCGCATACTCCTGACTCCTCGAGAGTCCGGGCTACCATATCACCATGGCACGCGCAGAATGCAATCCTGACTATGTGGACGCCGTCTGGTCCTTCTACCGTTTTGTCCCATCCACCGCCGCCAACACGGTCTTCATCGTCCTCTTTGGCCTCGCAACGATCCTCCATTTTTTCCAGATGCTTCGAACCAAAACATGGTATCTGACTGCGCTTGTTGCAGGCGGTGTTGGTGCGTAGCCATCCTAGAAGCAGTGTCTTTTCATGAATACTACTAACTCTTTTCTGTCGCGTAGCCGAGCTGATTGGTTACATTGGTCGACTGATGAACGCGTTGCAAAAGCCGGGATGCTGGACTCTAGGACCTTACATCATGCAAAACGTCTTGATTCTCATCGCGCCTGCCCTGATGGCCGCTTCCATCTACATGATCCTCGGACGAATCATCCTCTTGACCGAGGGTGAGCGGTTCGCCTTGGTCAAGCGACGCTGGCTTACGAAGCTGTTTGTTACCGGCGACGTCATTTCCCTGCTGATGCAGGCTTCTGGTACGTTTCGCCCATTTCCCTAATTTTGTATGTCTCTGGGTAGGAAGAGCAAACTGAGCAATGCGCTAACATGGAGCGACGTTGTCTTGCAACAGGAGGTGGTCTCATGGCCATCAACGCCGACCTCATGAAGATTGGAGAGAAGGTCATCATCGGCGGTCTATTCGTCCAACTCGCATTCTTCGGCTTCTTCATCATCGTCGCCGGGCTTTTCCACTACCGCATGCGTCAGAACCCAACGGGCCAAGCCTCACAGCCTCGCATCCGCTGGCAAATCTACCTCGTGACCCTCTACGTGACCGGAGCGCTGATCTGGGTCCGAAGTCTGTTCCGAGCGATCGAGTTTATCGAAGGCAACACGGGGCCGCTGATGCGCCAGGAGGTGTATGTCTTTGTCTTCGACGGCATGCTCATGTTCATTGTGCTTCTGTGGATGAACTGGTTCCATCCTAGCGAGATTGGGCTTCTCCTCCGCGGGGACGAGCCGATCAGGAACGGACTGGAGCTGATTATGATGAAGCCTATTGGGGCCAGTCGGTCCAAGACGATGGAGAGTCTGTCTTCGAGCAGCGAGGGGATTGTCGTTCCCAATTATCAGAGGGCATAAGTTGATGGTTTAGCCTTTCAATGGACGATGTCACTTGGGCATCTTGGACTCGACTAACTTGTCAAGCATTGATCGCTTCGGACTCTTTATCGACACCAAAGAAACTGGATCTATTATTTCGGTGATTTTCTTTAAATATTTTAGACTGGAAATGGGACGGACATGACTTTTTTAGAATGGTTGCTTTCGTATTTGTTACCTTGGATATGGATTGATAGAACGGGTCGTAATTGAAATTTGAAGTCTTTCTGAGAAATTTATATTACTGAAGCTTCGTGTTGTTAGTTGAGAGTGTATGAGACTTTCGCGGAAAGCAAAAATATATGCGCAAGGATACTGAATATTGGCATATCAATATCCCTCAATCACAATATCTATAATTTCTCAAGAATGATAACACGCCATTCAATTTCAAAGCTGCATGATCAAGCTTATCAGCCATTGGCTATAGGGTAGGTACTCTGAGCTAGATCAATTGAAGGTGAAACATGGCTCGAGTTGTCTCGCGACGTCACAAATGGCTAGACTAAACCAATTACCCCGGACTCTGATTCTTGGATGTCGCAGAAAGTCTGAGACCTGGCTTAAAGCCTGAGCCAGTGCGGCATTGTGCTTGATGATGCCCAAGAAATCCATCAATAATCGACGACCTGGACATCCCAGACGACTCCGCTATGCATGAGCTAATAATTACAGGGTATTATCACCTTAGGTCAGCATCACTGTAAGAAATTCCACTTTTAGACCAATCCGACAGGGATGAGAACGTGGTGATGTGCAAAGTTACCGTGCCATGCAGCGAGAGATCGCGGTACAGAACATACCCAACCGGGTCTGATAGGATTCGATCTATGATTCCGTAATGTAGTCAAATAGCATTAGATCAATACGGCTGAATATGTATTTGAACATGTTCAGAATAACCGTGGAGCTGCTAAAGTTGAAACGGTACATCACATGCTGGCCCTGGCCCCTGTCATATCAAACCCAGGCCAACAAGATGCCAAATTTAGCAACAATCCTACAAATTTGTTGTGCCAATATTAGTATCCATACGAATTGACCCCATTCCCGTTTCCCTTCGAAATTCAATTGACGATCCAATTTGCCTGTTTCTATCGATCGCACAGTTCCGCCTCGGTGAGAAAAGACGATAACTCCATCGACAAAGACAAAAGAAGCAATACGGACTCAACCACGCCACGCCTATCGATACGCGACGATGAAAACCCAGCAAATTGTGTGTTTGGAACTCCTGTTCCTCGCGCTCGCGCCATTCAGTACCGCAACTACAGAACTCGCCCCGTTACTACCCAGAAAATCGTCGCGTGGCCTCGCCAACGTTAGATCCGAAGAGATTCTCGGCACATCGAATTTAGACACAAGGCTAGCCGAGCGAGACGAGTGCGGCATTGGCTACAAAGCCTGCAAGAACGCGTGCATTCCCATCTTGGGCGTGTGCTGCGATAATGGAAAGGGATACTGCGATGTCATGACCGTGTGCGTCGACGCCGGGTGCTGTCCGATTGGCAAGCTCTGCTCTGATGACCCCGATGGGTGCCTGGGCTCTCTGGTTCCGTGCGGAGCCGACAAGACGTGCATTCCCGACGGCAAGATTTGTTGTGAGGATACAGGGAGCTACTGTGAGCAGGGAGAAACTTGCATGAACAATGGCAAGTATGGGTATTGCGCAAAGGGCTCAAGCTCGACGCTTGCGTCCGCATCAAGCTTATTGGCGAGGCCAACTGCATCCACGGGATCGGCGTCTTTGACATCGGCCTCGGATTCCACATCTACCAGGGAGACGACGACCGAGTCGACATCCAGCTCAGAGGAGAGCACCAGCAGCACCAGTACCATCGATAGCACCGACAGTATCAGCAGCACGAGTAGCGACAGCACCACATCATCTGCTTCGTCCGGAATGCAAACGTCCACCTCGAATACGCAAAGCGCCTCAACAAGTACTGGATCTGCTGCTGCCCAGACAAGTGAGCCTGGGGCTTCCTCCAGGATGCAGATGTCAGGTCTGGCATTGATTTCATGCGGACTTGCAGCTATCTACTGCCTGTTCTAGATGGAGAATGAATATCCATCTCTGGGCTTGAGCCGATAGCCTACTTAATTGCACATATACCGATTTGGGCGCCTTACATACACAGCGCATTGTATATATTACGGGGTCTTCAACCATTCAAATGTTATTAGCGAGGTTATTCTAGTCATTAGGTTATAGGGGAATGCAATATATCGTATCTATCACCGAATCGTTTAAGAGAAGTGTATTGTGTGGTTCAGGACTCGGACGACCTTTGACTACCATCTCCGGAAGAACAACCGCACTGTTTCAATATGCCAGACATGACTTGATAGCCTTAACTACATGTACTCTACTTGTATTTAACGAGGCGACTGAGCCAGCATCCTGGGCTAGGTCTTGCAAATAAGCTTAATTTGCGGAGAAGCCAGCGTCTGCCTAGGCCAAAACCGCGACGACGATATGAGGATGATTACCGCATGTATGTATGGCGACTGATAAGCGGCAAATCATATTTTCAAACACCTCAGTAGTTTGAGCATGCGGGATGCAGTTAAACGAACATTATCAGCCAGACATTATGCACTTGTCGAGGTCCGAAAGCAGCTAGACCATCAGCTCAGCTCAGCCTCTCCCACCGTGGCTTGGTTTTTGGGTCAGCTATTACTTGGCTGCCATGACCTATAAGAGAAGGCCACCGCCCCTCAGACAGATGATACAACTGATTGTCTCTATTCCAGTCCCGTTGTCTCACCCCGAGTGCGTGTGGCGCGCCGACCACCGACTCGGCAGCTCCTCGACAAATCCCCGCGTCGTCGCGCCACCCCGCAATCTGGCATTCCCGGTTCAGCTATGAGGCAAGAACAAAGGCGACATGCCGAATACGAAAGCTTCACTGCACAGCCTCCCGGAGCTCGTGCGAGATACCCAGCTCACCGTCCGCTTCGAATCTGACGGCAAGCAGCATTACACCCTCCACATCCCGTCGTCTCGCCGCAGCCCAACGATCGAAAGATGGGTCTCGAAAGAAAGGCTGGGCAGTGGGGGACAGGGTGTTGTTGTCTTGCAGGCCAAAGTTGCCGCAGGACATGGCCCGCCCCAGCTGCGAGCCGTCAAGACTATCACCCTGCCGGAGGGTCCCAACGAAGCGAACAAGGCGCTGTATAAGCGAGAGTTGGAAGCTATGGCTAAGTTCTCTCAAACAAAGGTGTGATAGATCTGCCCTGAAGCTCTTCTGGCGACGAAATTCCGCGTGTTTGGTGGTGCTTCTATGTCAGGGGCGAACCACTCGCTGAGACAAAGTATGTATAGTACTCGGAACAGTTTGTTAAGTTTCTTGGCTGGTTTACAAGCCCAGGACTTATTCATATTGCAATGGAGTATTGCGAACTGGGAGACCTTGAAAAATATCTCTCAACCTACCCGGATAGCCGTCTTCCCGAGTCCGAGACCCAGGATATCACTATGCAGATCTTAGGTGCTCTAACCAGTATGCACGAGGAGAGATTCTGCCACGGAGACCTTAAACTTGCTGTAGGTTCCTAGATAGATCACACGCTGAGTAGTGGCTAATGACAATTTCTATTCAAGAATGTTCTGATGATGAGCACCGCCCCATCCTGGTGGGTGAAACTGGCAGATTTTGGCCTGAGCAAGCGGCACGAGACGGTAGCAAACACGACTGCCGCAAAAGGCACCCCTAATTATATGCCGCCAGAGCTTCTTGGATACAACGGTGATCCCAGACACGCAGACCCGTATCCCGTGGACATGTGGTGCCTGGGGCAAGTGGCCTTTCGGCTCGCTGCAGGCCAGCCCATGTTTCCATCTCAGGCAGATCTTTCTAAATATTATTATAACTACGCTGAATTTAGAATACAGCTTCTCGAGAAACATCTGGTGGATCAAAAATTCATCCAGTTTATACAACTTCTGGCCGCTCCTGAACCCAGAGACAGGCCCTCAGCCACTGGCTCATCGTCGCATCCGTGGGTTCAGAGTGCACTTGCAGATCATGATGCTGGTCATGGCCTCAGCTGTCAAATGACAGAGAGCCAGATTTGGCCATCAGATATTCCCATCTCTGGTACTGGAGATAACTCCGAGCCGTCTGCCTCGTGGCCCGTGGACGCTACAATCATTACAGACATGACGAGATCGCCTGCACGCATCTCGGGTGATGGGCATACTCCCATGGGCTATTGGGATAATGAAGCGTCAGCAGTTTGGTCTACGGAGGAGGCAATCGTCTCTGCTCAAGCAAGTCTACCAGTAATGGCTTCGCCGACTGTTATTGAAGAAGTCTGTGTTAAAGTATCTGAGGCGGACGATTTTATTTCGGAGGGGGACAAGTTCCTTCTGAAAAAAGAGTATGAAAAGGCGATCGAGCAATACAAAAAGGGTACGTATTTTCCTCTCCCCGCTTGAATGACCACACTTCTCTCCGAAGCATGATCGTAATTTTGGATGCTGATCCATTTGCCTCCCAGCCCTTGAAATAGAGCCTTCTTCGGTAGAGTATATGGACATTTTGTGCAACGCACACATGTCAATCCGAGCTTGGAATGATGCAATCGCAGCTTGCAATGTGGTACTCAAAAAGGATCCAAAGAATCCGATATTCTGCTCAAGGGCTTTTCAACTCGTCGCATTTACCGCTGGCCTGCCCGAGGCTGCCTTCGAATATCTTCAGCATGCACAGCCTCCACCACCGGACCACGTTGTGGAAGGGGCGAGGAGCATGCAAGATTCTCTACTGAAGGTTCTCAAGATTCTTGAAGAAGGCTCTGATATGACACAGGCTCTTCATGAGCTGGACATGATGGAGGCTGCGCTGTGGCCCAAAGCTGTGGCCCCCTATAGGTGGAGTTTGCTACGAGCGGAAGCTTTGATGAGGATGGGTACTATGGATGGAATCAATCAAGCCGTGGGAATGACAGATCCAAAAACCGAAGACAACGACCAGAAAGCTGGATATCTCTCTCTTCATGGCCGTGCGCTGATCCTAGCTTGCCATTTAGACCTCGGCTGCGACAGTCTACGCAAAGCAATCGAAGTAGACCCCGAGTCCACCAGGACTCGAAACTGGCTGAAAACAGGACAAAAGCTAGAGGAATTATTCAGCAAAGGGAAGATTTGCCTGAGAGAGGGTAGCTTTGAAGAAGCCAAAGCACTCTATACTGAAGCATTGCAAGTCGACTTGAGTAACTGGTGTCTGAACGCGGTAATGTTGGATAATAGGGCCTTATGCGAAATCAAACTGGGCAACTATCCTGCGGCGATTGCAGACTGCGATCTTGCCCTCAACCTATATCCAGATCTGCACCTGGCCAAGGAGCATAAAGCTCTGGCCGTCTCAAAGATGTCTACGATGGATGGGAATATATCACAGGGGGTGGATCTCCGGGACCAGCTCCGACAATCAGACAAGAAGATCTTAAATGAGCGGGATAACAGCGCGTCTAGATCTATGGGGAAAAGGTTCGCTGATATGCAAGTTTCTGAGTAAGTAGTACTCTTGGTTGTGCTTATCCCAAGGACCACACTGAACGAAGCAGTCACACTCCCACGAATATCTCCGTTGAGTTGTATTATAAAGGGAGGCAGCATATAGCCCACATGCAATTGGCGCACCTTGCTCCGGCTTTTTTTGGAATAAAAGTACGCATAGCCCTGCTCATGATGATCCTTTGGCTACCAAAGCCCTTGACGAGTTCACTGGGCCCCCGATTTTCTTTTTAACATACTAGTCTTATTATTGTGCAGCCTTTCTAATCTTATCTTTTGAATAGCTCCGAGCTATTCTGAACATTCCGACACATAGAAGAATATTGGTTGAACGATACTCTAGTTCGGCATCGTCATATGTAGCCGTCCCCGATGACTTGACAAAGTATTGGGGGTTCTATTTAGATGCAGAACTGACATTTAAACTGAAGGTACGGGTAACTGATATGATGATTTCTTAATGTAAATAGTGGAACTAAGGAAGGGTCCGGACTTTACAGTTTCAGGCGAGGAAGGTTTTGCTTGCTTGTGTGGCTGCTAAAAGTCGTAAGGCGAACATCGAAGGCTAAGGCTCAATAACCGGCAGTGGTGATGAGTCTGATTGATAGCCGTGAATAAGAGATTTTAGTTATCAATGTGAGAGAGGAGAAACTGAGTTGCCGAGTGTGGATGATAAATTTATTAACCAGGCTCAAACCCATTCGCCCCGAGGTCAACTAAATAGATCCTAATAATTCCAGCCTTGTGTCCGCTGGGGAGCTTTAGTGTGGAATATCTAATCTAAACATCTCCGTTCACATACTATTTCAGGATACCAGGTTAATGGCTCACACCAATGGTTCTTGGTTCTTTGTAACTCCACTCTTGCGTAGGAGATGGACGAAAACAACCTATGACATACATAATAAAGCGCTGATACATTTAATCTCAGCTCTTATTGATCATCTAGAAGACCAATCATGTCTAGAGAGTCTTCCCACAACCGATGCTCCTCCGCTGGGCTATATGTGTGTTTCGCGTAAGCAGTGCCATGTAAATCATCCTCAGAGTCCCTAGACGGCACATCTGCGCAATGAGATAAGTATCTCCCACCTTTACTCTCCAATTCTCTTCCGATCGCTCCCCAGATCGCCGTGGCCGTACCTCGTGCAGAGCCTTTCCCGCCGGTTTCTGACTGTAGATTTGAATGGAGGGATTCTGTGTCATCCTGCTGAGATGCGCCAGCAATGATCCGGCCAGAATCAGTGCTGAAGGCATGCAGCCCACGAGTTCCGTACCGCCGTTCGATTTCATTTGCCATATATACATTGGCGGTTTTGGATTGCGCATATGCAATCGCGGAATCGTAGCCTCCCTTTTCAAAGTTGTAGTTACCCCTCTCATTTAAACCGTGTTTCCTGTGTTCCGCGCATGCCACCATGATGACGCGGGACTGAAATCTAGGGCGACTAGCTGCTAGTAGCTCTGGTTTGAGGAGCTGGAATAACAAGAAATGAGAGAGGTGGTTCGTGGCAAACTGCACCTCAAAACCGTCCTTTGTGAGCTGGAGATTTGGAGAAGGTGAGATGGTCTCGTTGCAAACGAGGAGACTGATCTTCTCTGTCTTGGATACGATATGTTTTGTAGCTTCTCGTACACTGTCAAGTGACGTGTGGTCTATAGTGACGAATTCCATGCGATTTGGGTTATAAGCATCGCCTAGAGTCACTATTGCTTTGGCCTGATTTGGGACTGGGAGGATGAGTCTTAATCCAGTGACAGCTAGTGCCTGGACGATTTCGATGCCGGTGACAGAGGAGGAGCCAGTGATGACAGCCCACTTGCCAAGCAGCTCCCCCTCCATGTTGTTGTCTTTCACAATGTCCAGCGGGGTCGGTTCATGTCGGACGCTGTGAGGCATTTTGGAGCTTGGTAGAGGGGTCTCGAATACAATTAGATGAATGATTCTATGGCAGTATGACTCCTTCGCCTTTTCCTACCTGGACGGCTCTTTCCAGGCGTCCCGTGTCTTCTTTTTAATTCCTGTTAAAGTTGCAATATCAACCCCTGACTCCCGCTGCCTACGTAATCTTCACACCTCTGGTGTTTCTCAGTGGCATGAGCTGACATTTCTTGCCATTTCCGGACTCGCATTCGGATCATCTGTTCTCTGATTGCCCAGTCACTGTATCCCCAGTCGGAGCTAAAGACCGACCGACAACATCGTACTCGGGTAGAGCTCGCTGCGCCACGATCCATCAATAATTAGTTCCCGGCCCGTCCGAGGCCTGGACAAAGATTAACTGATCCTAATTCTTATTCTATTGCTTCATTGTTCCCAATGAGACTCACACAGCCTTCTTCAAGAGAATACGCGTATTCTTCTTCCCAAATCGATGACGAGAGTATAATTATTTCCGCAATCTCCGACCATCACGAGACCATGGTTGACGTTTCCATTTTGTACAAATATGCGCATCAGAGATATTTTTTCTATCTGTCTAGCTCACACAGGTGCACCCGTGAAATCTCATCAGACCAATGCTGATCCGAGTCATGGAACGCAACTCAATGATTCTCTGCGTCCAGCCCACTAACAAACACTAATACTTGTACTAGACGCTTATGCCAACAAGCTGCTTAGTTGATGCTCCTTCTCTATAGATGACATTGTCTGCACCGCGTCATCAATCGCTGACTGAACCGACGCATCGGCGCCGTTGCGTAGCTCCACGAGTCGACGCTTCCAAAAGCCCCAACGCTCAAGATTGAAGCCCCTTGTGCCATGAAACAATGAGCCACCTCTGTATGGGCTCCCATGAGCTGCGTCCTCTGGCTCCGTCGAGAACGTACCTAGCACAGATTCATGCCACAGTCGTGCGCCGCTCCTTTTGATCCACTCAGAAGCAACAAGAACTCGCGCATCAGCAGCAGCTGCACTACCGGCATCGCTCGCGTCTTCCTCAAGGCCGTTCCGTAGCTCCCATATCGCAAAGTTACCAAACCGTTTGCCCTTGAGATTGAACAACCGAGCGATGAAAGAATTTAAGTTGAGCCACTCAGCCTGTGAGAATTCTCTGTCGTCCTCAGCGTCGAGCTCAAATGTAGGGCTTGTTCATTTCAATTAGCAGCCGTCAAGGCAAGTCGGATTTCATTTCAATCAAGGCGGCAAGTCATACTATGGTTCCAGCTGTCCCTGATGGAAATTCCAAACCCCGGGAGGTCAGTCCATGGACCGCAATGTTCCAGCATATTAACAACTCGAATGAGGACTTCCTGCCCATAGTGACTGGAAGGGATTCGTGAAGCAATATGTGTAAGGACTTGCCAAGTGCTTGTTACAAAAGACTCTGATTCTTTTGCATCAAATAAGATCAAATCGGCAACAAATCGAATTGCTTTCTCCTCAACATTGGGTTCCAAGGACGAAGAGATGGCGGTTTCAAACTTAGTGAGGATGAGAAGGTCGACTTCGTTGAGGAGGCCGCGCGCTTCGTCTTTGAGAGATTCGAAATCCAGACGCTCGTTAGACATTGCTTAAGCAGTTTAGTGCTGATCAACAGGGAAGAGAGGTAGTTGGAAGAGAATCACAAATAGTTGAATTCTCGTGCATCTATGTCTTTATATTTGCACAAGATCACTTTTCTCACATGAGCGATTATAGCGGTGGGCAATTATATGTTTAAAGCTCGACCTTGCTACTTGGAAAGAATTGGATTTTTTTTTAGCGCCCAGTTATAAACAGAGCGGCCACCTGTTTCAGGCCACTGGATGGCCATTGCCACCCCTGCTTCATACCTCTGAATGATTGGGGAGTTTAGCGCGTGGCCTGGATTCTGGACAAACTGAGGGGTCTTTTTGAAAACCCATCTATGTTAGGCAGTAATACCACCAGTCTTTGGGCGGTTATAGAGTCGCTTCTACCACACAAGGCCAGCACAGAATCCATGCGTCTTCAGTTAGTCATAATAGGTGGGACGTCCATACTTAGGTAGTTTTAGTACACTTGGCTGGATACTTTAGTATGAATGGGCTAGTAGTAGGGAAGCGATCTTGCCAGCAAACTCTTGGATAAAAATTGTATAATAAATCAACTTCACGGAGCTACTCTCACCTCCTTTGCCTTCAACCCACTGAGCTATACGTCGATTTATACGCTCACATAGGAACCTAAATCTATTCGTACTGATTCGTTGCTTTCCTACCCTTGCTTACCTGGCGCTATCGATCATCATAATATTCAACTATTTAATTCATGGAACATTACCCGTAGCAACCCTTCTTTCCGTCCTATGACAGTTCTAGAAACGATCCCAACAGAACGTGATCTTACCTTGACGCGCCTTTTCTTACACTGGCCACAGCCATTCCTAGATTAGGAATGATAATTTTGTGAATTATGAAGCATTTCTATCGCTAGCTAGGATGTTGGTGTGAATGGCGGCTCTGTAACTAATCAAACTGTGCGTGTTTGTTAGAGAGCACTAACGAAACAACCCCCCTCTCGGCTTAAGTTCTGTCTCAGCAGGCAGTTTTATTATTCTCCGATGGCCGTTTACCGTTTCAACCTTGGGAATGAATTGAGTTTAGTGTACGAGGTGGATAACCACAGCCACGATCCTCCTTTCTGGACCCCAATCTCACAGTCCAGGGGCAAAGGCAAATGGAGACTGATCTACAATTGGTATGGAGTTTAGTGTACGAAGCGGAGCGATATGTTTCGTTTTAACGGACATCTTCAAGAGACGAAGGGCAATTGCAATGGCGATTCTATGTATAAATATAATTAGTGATTCCCGGATCCAGATCAGAAACCCATTATCATCTGTCGACGTTGGCTTTTATTGTGGAATACCTTCTTGATCTTACCAATCGAACACCAATATGCAAAAAACATACATCCGGCTCTTCCTGTTAGCCCTACAGCTGCCCGAAATCGCGACGGCATGCCTTTTTCATGCAGCCGGCGCTACTGAGGTTGATGCTTACAAAACCATCAATAATGAGCGTCGTTCCCTCCCTACCGAGGCCGAAAGGACAGCCATCCAAGATGTGCGTGTCTTTGATGGCTCGAAGTTCAGTCTCCCGCAAACGGTTTGCTTGGATGGTGGCTACATCGTCAACTTGAACGGCTGTCACACTTCCTCGGAAATGATCAACGGAACGGGAAAATTCCTCATCCCAGGCCTCATTGAGAGCCACACGCATCTCAATGACGTGCAGTCACTCGAAAGCATCACTTCCTATGGGGTGACTACTGTCCACCAGATGAACTGCAGAAACACTACACGATGTGACTCGATGAAAAACCAACCCGGGCTTGCCTCCTTCTTCCGCGCTGGAATGTCAGCTGTTGGCAGCGGTAGCATGCACGAGAAGCAGGATCCGACCCGGCCTAAGGATACACTTATATACCCCGACACGAATGTGACACAGTTTACCGAGTGGCAGTTCAGAAATGGAAGTGACTTCCACAAGATCACTGCGGAGGCCAACGGACCTTCGCTGGAGCAACAGATCGAAATGGTTCAGACCGCCCACTCCCAATACCAAAGGCAGACCATGACCCATGCCTCTTCGATAATGGCATACCAGCAAGCGGCAGGCTCGTTAACCGATGGTATTCAGCATATTCCCGATGACGGTATATTGGATGCTTCGACAATTCGCAAGATTAGGGATCAAAATCAGTTTGTCACGCCTACTCTAAATGTGTTTGAATATGCCTATAAGGACCCGGTCCTTCAGCTTTTCTTTGGTATAGAGCCAGGAAGCAACCGTAGTCTGGAGAACGCAGAAACGAATAGCCGTCTGTTGTACCAGGGCGGTGTTACCATTGTTGCTGGCACCGATGCAGTTGGCTCCATGAGCGTGAACGGCACAGAAGCCACTGTTCCGTTTGGACTGACGCTTCACTATGAGCTTCAAAATTTCGTCAATATTGTTGGAATGTCTCCTGCGGAGGCCATCAACGCTGCTACTAGGGTTGCTGCGAAATGGCAAAGGATCCCCGACCGAGGTAGTATAGAGGTGGGAAAGCGAGCTGATTTGGTTATGCTTAACTCCAACCCGCTTCTCAATATTAGCAATACTCTGGACATTGAAAAATCTTGGGTGGCGGGTGTTGAGGTATCTTATATTACAAAACTATCAACCTAGGACTCCCCAAAGCTCTTCTTCTTGTTACGTGGGAGAGAAATACCGAGCAAGTAAGTGACGACCTATTCAATTGGGACTCGGTAAATAGAGTTGGCCTAAACTTTGGGAAGAGATCTTTGTGTAATTATATAGCACTCAGTGAAACTCATCAGTGGCATTTCAAAATTTATTCATATCTCTAGGTGTTGAGTTGTCGGGCTCTGGCAGCTTCCATTGCTGTTAAACTTTATTGTCTTTCTCTTAGGTATTCATATCTTTAGACAAATACTCCGCCCACAAAATCAATAGCATAGACATCCGCAGCAACCGAGTCACTCCAGTTAACAAACTCGAGGTGCACGGGGTCCTCCAACGCATAGTAATCACGGTCCTCTTTGATGTCAAATCCGACCACAAACACATGTGTAAACCCTTTCTATGGGCGGACCGAATGTTAGCAACGAATTCGTCGTGAAATCTAATAAGGCTGGCACACCTGAAGTCCCTGAACAGAATTGTCACGACCCCCAGTGCAGGATTGAATGTATGGTTTTCCTGTTTTTGGGTGGATGCATGTTTCTTTCAAGACAAGCATCTTATCAACAAGTTCCTGAGTTGAGAGCAATGTTAGAATCTTTCAAACATCGGTTACGCGACCAATATATTACCTTGACTGAGTCAGGCATAACGCCATCCTTGAACTTAAACGAGACGATATGAGTATAAGCCATATTGTTTGCCCTATATGAGTAGCTGAAATACAACGAAGAGAATAGTAGGCTGTTTATCTTAAATACTACTAGAGTTTAGGGACCACAGTCATCGGTGGAATGTGTCGGCCGACATCCGGGTTAAAGGGCATCCTCCCCGGCCGTCTTGTCTGAGACCCCCGCATCTCGCCATCCATCTTGTCTCAACTACAGGACATGGCCATTTGTGGTACTCATTGATCTCGGTTATGGAGACCCTTTCGTCCTGACCCGTGGCCTATCTCCCGTTTCAGCCCTCTTTGCCTCTCGGCGGCGCTGGACCTCGGGCGGAGAACAAGACGTGGGCGAAACATCTCCACACAATCCGCCGCTAGCTCATTTCTTCGGCCAACTCATCACACTCGGCCATGAATGACACTTGAATCGATGAAGGTGTCAATCTCATGGCGGTATACAACGACCAGGGCGGACTCGTGCTGCCAGACATAGCCTTCTGGGATGTAATTACGCTCCTATAATATCCAACTCAGAGTCGTAATCACCCATAACCATCATTCGATACTCTCCAGTACACAATGCCTGTATACAACTTTGACCCTGAACTCTTCTCGAGTCTGTCAAATCAAGTTGTTGTCTTGACTGGTAGGCACTGTTACATCCAAACTAAATGGAAGGGTCTAACGATCTTTAGGTGGCGCCCATGGTGTTGGCGAATCAGTTGTCAGTACACTGTATAGTGTGGGAGCGCACGTAGTTTTTGGCGACATTGATGAGACTGCTTGCGCTCAGCTCATCCAAAACTTGAGCAAAAGTCATCCTTCGAGCACCGGCTCCTTGGCCTTCCGCCGCGTCGATGTGAGAAAATACGGAGACAACCTTGGACTCTTCCAGGACGCCTTTTCTCGTCATGGACGCGTGGATCATGCCATGTCAATTGCTGGGGTAACAGAGGGTCAAAACTGGTTTGATCCTAGCCTGGACCTGACTTCGGTTGCAGCGCCTCCATCGACGTCTGTGCTGGACATTAACTTACTTGGGGCTCTCTACTTCGCTCGCATAGCGGCGGTGTACCTACGACAGGGTCCTGATTCTGGCCGTGACAAGTCTCTCATGCTCACTGGCTCATTGGCATCCTTCAAGGAACAGCCCGGTCTATGTGTATATCAACCTGCGAAGCACGGGGTCCTTGGCCTCTTCAGAGCGATCCGAAAGAATCTCTCTTCCCGGGGAATCCGGATAAACATACTTTGCCCTGGACTTATTAGCACTGCCATGTCGACGAAAATCCAGCATATCTGGGAGGAAAACAGCCTGCCTATAAACACAGCTGATCAAGTAGGTGACTACGCCCTGAGTCTGATCACGAAGGGGCAGCAGAAGGATGGATCAATCCGAACAGGGGTGGCCATTTATGTGGAGGGAGGGAAAGGATGGGAGTTTGAATCGGAGCTTGATAGACTAGATGAAGAGTGGATGGGCGCCGAAATGGCTCGAAACTGCGTTGAGATAAATCGAGTGCTTGGTGTTGGAGCAGCGTGGACCACTGAGAGGCCCAAGATCTAACCAGATAAATATCGAAAATAAAGAGTGATTCAACCCAGACTGTGATTCTTCGAAGGATGCATTATTGGATTGCAACAACCCTGTTTTTCACTACCGTATTGCTGAGTCCTAGGATGTGAGTGTAATATTATGACGCTTAAGGTCTGTTGATACTTCAGACTTAGAAGCCAACTACTACTTTCCTCAATTGATCTACCTTTTTAACGACCACAGGTGTGAAAGTTTGATGAAAAAGAGACTAAAGTTTACCAAGAGTAGCTATTGATCTAAGGCTATCTAGAAAGCATTTCATCAGAGGGTACTGGCGGTATGTTAACGAGGTCGACATAATACCCAAGATTTCCCCTTTTGACATCCTCACAGGTCCAACCGTTTCCGATCCACTCCAACTGCCCTTTGGTGCTCGCAGTCTCGTAATCATAGTCCTCCCACCTAGGGTGCATGAGAGCCTGCATCGCGTGAAGACTGCTGCCGGGCCAAAGACCGATGATCTGGTTGTTCACCTTATACCAGCTGGTACATTCGTCAACGTGGACTGTGCCCGGGAAATACTTATCAAGGTGATTAACCCAGGAGTCTAGAGCACCTGACTTTACCTCCATACTTTTGATGTTCTCTCGGCTGATTTTTTGAACCGCCTTGATAACGTATCCGATGACGGATTCAAGGATGAGTAAGAGAGATCCACCACCGGTGGCACTGTTTGGTCCTCCGACAATGAAGTAGTTGGGAAAGCCTGGAATGGAATGAGAGAGGTATGCTGAAGCTCGCTTTTCCCACAATGAACCCAGAGATTTTCCATTTCTGCCAATAATGGGGAATCGAGGCCTGTGGCTAGTGTCGAAGCCCGTTGCGCAAGCAATTGCATCCACAGCCCACTCGGAGCCATCTTGAGTCAACACCCCCTTTTCAGTTACGCGGACAATTGGGCTTTTGATGAGTTTCACGTTGTCCTTGGTTAGAGCTTCAAGATATCCGGGGCCGGGTGTTAAACGGCGGCAGCCAGGAGTAAACCGAGGTTCTAGAGCCTCATAAATCTCGGGCTTGGAAGAGAGCTTCTTCTTCATATTGTTACGAATCTTGTTGGTAGATTCGATTTCTTCAACAGACTTGGGGAATAGAGAGGGGAAGTCTTTGTTGATGAAGCTCTCCATCTCCTTCCGGAAATTGCGATAGTACTCCGGGTCGTTTCGAAAACGGTCAATCTCCTCTTTTGTATAAGAGTAGTTCCCAGGTTCGGTACTATTGGCGAGAATTTTCTCCGTGTAGGTCGACCCAAAGGGCTGGCTGATCCATGTACCGCCTCGGATGAAATTGTATACCTGTGGGCATTTCTTTTGGAAATGAGGAAGGATTTGGATTGCAGAAGATCCACAGCCCAATAGCGCAACAGTCTTTCCAGTGTAGTCCCTTTGGCCGTATTAGATTTGGTCATTTCATTATGGAAAGAATTACTCACCAGTCAGTATCCCAGTGGGCGGAGTGCAGTAGTTTACCACCAAAGTTTTGGAGGCCTTCAACTTCAGGCCATTTCCAGTTATTCAAGATTCCAACAGCGCTGATGACAACTTCCGCCTCAATAGTGCTCACAACAGCCGGACTGGCGGTCGTATCCTCCGTCTTCACGACCCATAAGCTCTTCTCCTCATCCCACTCAGCTCCAATCACCTTCGTATTGTACTTGATCTTCTCGTCCACTCGGTACTTTTGAGCGACGCCCTTGACATACTCCAGGATCTCAGCACCCGGCGAAAAGAGCTTGGACCAGTCCGTGTTTGGTTCAAAAGAATATTGGTATACGTGACTGGGGATATCACACGCCACACCGGGATACTTGTTCTCGTACCAAGTTCCACCAAGAGCAGGGTTCTTCTCCACAATGGTGACAGTGGCGTTAGGGATGTTTTGGAGGGTTCGGATGTAAAGGGCTATTCCGCAAACACCGGCACCAATGATCAATACGCGGATGGGTCGACCGTCATCAACGGCCTTCCCTTCCAATTTGAATGCTGGGGGCGCGTCACCGTTCATGTTGAGGCTGAATTTGTGGCGATGATAATGAATTGTGGTAAAATGATGCTTGGAGTAAGGCTGAAGCTAGATACTTCCTGTTCAACGTACTGTGCTTGATTCTATACCTAAGGCCCTCGTTTTATCACTTGACAGTGCTCTAGATTTAATCAATATGCTTCACCATTCACAATAATCGCTCTCATTGGTTCGTTTTGGCCGATGTTCCTTGTCAGCGGCCATCGTCGGCCAAGATGGGTCAATGGGTTACATGCTGGATAGCAAAGCCCGATCATCCTATCTAACGCTACACAGTGTCATTTATCGGAGGATTTTGGGTCAAAAAGTCGTATGATGATTCTTATCTTCTGTCCCGTGGGAAGTCACTCATGATCACACCTTCGGGATGAATTGATTCGAACGTTCAAATCATAATATCACACGCTTGAAAAATAACACTGAGTTGACGAACAAGGCATATGACAGAGACGATTGACTTGTTTTATCGTCCGTGAATGAGGGGTGTAGGACCGCAAATTATGTGTCTCTGTGCCATTGAAGGAAGGATCTCATTTTGCCATATTCACTCATTACGTGCTTATAAAAATAGCTAAGGCGATACAATACTAGCTAGAAAACCCACCCTCATCAGTCTGTTGTAGTCAGGAAAGAAATCAACTAATTCTTGTAGCTCGGTGTTGGTTTCTCCTTCTGAACGCTCTCTTTAACATGTGAGGTGAGGCGGAGTGCCTTCTCTAAACCAAGACGAAACATTGCATCCAGCCTCAGAAGACCAAGCTGCATCGTTTCAAACATGACGCTTTGTTCCCGCAGAGTGATTACCCATCGAGAAAGTGCGGCTAGTACCTGTTTTGCGGAAGCAGCCGTGGGTGCTAGTACGAGAAGAAGCATGATGAAGTTGGAGATTGTGGCGTAACATGCCCGGGACCCTGAGTGACATAAATTAATATGGGAATGTAGAATTCCGAAATGTTGAGTTTCAGACTTACATGATCGTGAGAAGCTATTTCTGTCATAAGACCCCAAACTTTGCGCAAATTGGCTCGCCTGCTGAGCTGTGGTGAGAGCATCTTGAAGTATTCCCAAGGTGGCATTGGCGATTGTCGCCGTTGTAGGATTTTCAACCCCAAGCATTGAAGCCTGTGGAGAAGGGTCGCTACGCTGGCTGATATCCGTCCTGGAATAGCCCTGAGATGAAAGATTTGCTATTGGCCTGAATATTGCTCGGTAGGTCAAGGCTTTCAAAGTTAAGAAGGCGAGCTTGATGTGAGCTGCTGAGCCGGGGTGGAAGTAGTCACGATGCTGCGGAGCGGAGACTGAATAGACCGCCATCTGCTTCGGAAGTTGGGCATGCCAGTCGTCCAGCCTTGCCAAATACCTCTTCCCATATTTGAGAGATGTTTCAAAATCGACGGAAAGTGCATTGGTTGCACGTAGCGTAAAGAAGTCCATGTATAAATCATACGAGATCAGAGAAAGGTCAGCAAGAAAGCGGAAATCATGACCTCCATGACAGAAGGCACACGGCTTTTGAAGCGCAGGTGCTTGTGTGGCGGTCTCCTCATTGGGGCACAAGAAGTGATCAATGACGAAGTCCGCCTCATCGAGAGGTGCTACATCCCACTGGTCGCTATGGATAGGAAGGGGAAGTCCTAATAGCAGACTTCGCCAGGTGGCCTCGGTATGTATCGCCCACCATAACCTCCTTCGGAGTCGTTTCTCCCAGTCTGGAATTGGCCACAGTTGACAATCCAGATGAAGCCCAAGTTGATTAGCAACGTTTATCGCGGACCCTAATAGAGACCAGTGCCCCGGGCTGTCTGTGGATGCCGTCATTACCTCTCCCATGGGTCTTTGTAGATATATGAGCAATGCTTGTACAAGAGCTAGGGAGGGTGCGTGCATGTGTTCTAGTATTCCCCGATAGGCCATCTCCCATAACAGGGTCTTGTGACAGTCCACGTCTGTCTGAGAGACGTTCAGTATTGGGTCATAGCGGCGAAAAGACTCTGCCACGGCGTAAATAGCGGCTAAAAGGTAAGGAGGGACCCCTTCGAGGATGTTTGCTTTAGGTACCAGAGTCTCAGTCCTGACTTTCAGCTTACTACGAGACAGAACGGGGAGGCTGGGAAACGTGTAGCGAAGGAACCTTGGTGGAATCAGCACACATGAGCTCACACATTATTACTTGTGAGTGTTGTGGTAACTTACAACCCAATGTATCGGGCCCCCAGTTCCGGATCAACAATTCTATTGAGCTCTTTCCGTTGATCTGCATTGCCGAGACAATCCCCGGTTGGCACATTCGAAGACTGTTTGGGGGCACTAATAAGAAAGTGGACCGGAAAGGCACTGCTGGGCGGATTAAGATCTCCCGTCGGTGTCTGGGAGAGAGACCGGTATTGGAATCGGCCAAAATTACAGCTTCCATCTTCTGAGAAATTAACATGCCGTAGAAGATATGGGTCCATCTCGCCAGATGGACCGAAGAGCTGGGCTGACAAAGTCTCATCATGTGAGTCGAGGGCTCTGCTTGGCTGTGGCTGCGATGGGATAGGTGTGTTGGAGCGATGGATTGCTCGATTGCCGCCTTGCTCTGGCATGCGAAGGCTGGGAAAGTCCTGCTGAGCCTCTGGGATAGAAAACTGGTTGATCAGGGGGAACAGGTCATCCTGAGCAAAGTCGACACCCCCCATACCTTCAGCAAATGCGGCCGACAGGCTTCCCAGACCGGGCTCGGTTAGACCAGAGGTGGCGTACCAGACATCGTGGTGAGAAGTCTGAAACATCTCAGCACTAACAGAGTCCTCCAGGTTGCCTAGATGGCTAATTTCTATCGTATAATCGGGGCAGTCCCCAGCTGCTTCCTGTCCAGGAGCCCAGCCATCTGGTACAGAAGCCTCAATTTCCGACCCAGCATGACTATTTTGGTCATAGTGTCCACCATCTGGATCCCTCTCGCCCTCAGGCGTGGAGGCAGAAGTGGGCAGCCTTGGTGGGCGTCTCCGTTTCGTTGGAGGCTCATTGAAAGTACATTCTGTGCCCAGTTCTCGACAGATCCTACAGGGAGGCTGGTCCTCAAGATGGCAGGCATGTTTTCGGCGACGGCAGACATCGCACGGCCGGTGACGCTTGGACCTGTAGGGACGATTCAAGGATTGTCCTGTGGATTTTCGGCCGTTCATTGTGATACTGTCGAGTTGATGTGATAGATCTGACGTGAAGATGTCGTGCTGGTAGGCGAACTTCTGTATGAAGGAGTCGGGCGCCGGGGTATCTTAGGAGAGTTGGCCGCTAGGAACAGTAGATCACACGGAAGATGGCCGACGAGGCTTATCTTTGGCCGAACCGCTAACAACGGCCGACGAAAGATAACGGTGGAGTTAACTTCTGGGTTCAGGCCAACCCCAACGAAGAATCCCCTTAGTGAGTGGAGATCTGGAGACCACGAGTCAATGCGGATACATACTAAGCTATCTCCTTGGCTGTGGAAATACTCCAGGCCTATACATTCTAGGGGTTTAGACTAATTAGATAAATATAGATCTTTAGTATATAGTTTTAGGTGTAAAAAGGCTGGTGCTATTTATACTAATAATCTCCCTATATATAAAGGGCTACCTTATAAAAGCTATAGTTATAAGTACTTTACCTAATTAAAGGCCTTATTATATTTAGGCTAACTTTACCTAAAGGGGCCCTTTTTATACTCTTTATTATATACTCTTTAACCTTATAGCCCCTATAAGCTTAATACCTTCCCTTTTTCTCTAATTAGATATAGTTATACTATAAAATAGGTATAAATTTATTACTAGGTTATAAATTCCTCCTTAACTAATTAGTTAGATAAAAAACCTTAATTAGACTTATTATAAGAGTATCTTACTAAGTAGTCTAATTACTTAACTACTTTTAATAATACTTATTATTATATTATAAAATATATATATTTATAAGTATTATATTAAGTAGGTGTTACGCTTAAGTCTAGCTACAACTAGGCTAGTGCTATAAATAGATTATAAAGTTAGCTATAGGGTAGCTATAGTTAGATAGCTTATAGTTAAAACCTAGGTTTATAATACCTTTACTTATATATAAGGTAATATAATTCTTAAGGCTTAAATTACTTTTATCTACTAGCTATTTCTAGCTCTTTTATAGGGGGCTCTATATAGCCCCTATTTATAGTATAATAAGTACTCTAGATAAAGGAAAAATTACTATTATCCTTAATAGCTTAACTATATTTAGCTTTAATTAATAAAAGAAAAACTCTTAAAAGGTAAATTAATTACTATTTAGCTAATATATATTATCCTATAAAGAAAAGTTTAATTATTCTAATTTACTTTTACTAATTATATACTTATACTTACTATTTTCCTAGTTACCTTTATACTTAATTTATTTTATACTTTTTCTTTATTATAGTAGGTATTACCCTCTTTTAGTTTTACTTATACCTTTAAATTATACTATTTAGCTTATTAGTCTATAGACCCTTCTATATTTATTTTATACTTATACTTAAATAGTATTTTTAGCTAGTTAATTAGCTTTTTTAGAGTTACCTTAGTAAGAGTCTTCTTTAATAGTATTTTAATAGTTAGCTTTATTTTAATTTATAATATTAATATCTTAGATAGAGTTAGGCTAGCTCTATCTAACTCTTAGTCCTCTTTATCTTTAAGTAGTAATAAGGTTTAATATCCTAATAGAGCTTTATTTATATTATAGCTAGCTTCTTTAAGTATATTAAGTCTAAGTTATATAATAGTAATACTTACCTTTAAGGCTATATTCTTCTTTTCTAAAGCTATATTAATTTCCTTTACTTTATTAATATAATCCCCTTATTCTTTAAATAATTTCTTAAAAGCTATATTATTTATTTAATTACTTATCTTATAGTTAAACTTCTCTACTATATATTTAAGATTTATATTAATTTATTTAAAGTATATTTCCTATATATAGGTAGTTCTTACCTTTAA